ACCCTCATAATAGCGTTATTAATATTTTTTTGCGAATTTCCCTAAAAGCCTTTTAAATGCGAAGTTTTTCTCCAACCTTTGTTCTGTGGGGAATAAGTAAGGAACCCACCCTGTCGTTTTTCTAATTTCTCAGATCCTCTCGCGTACACAACAAAGATATATCCCAGACTGACGAAAACTACAATCCATTGTTATCTTATCTTATAGACACACATTGATCAAACGTAAGCTGATTGGCTATAAAGATCTTTCAGACAAAAGAGAAACAAGCTTATTCATTAGAGTAAACAGAACGTGACGCTCGATTTCTGGGCCGATATTTCACAATCATTACATCAACAGTAGCTTAAATCACCACTAAGTAACCTATTTCCGACAGTTCCCTCTCTTCTTTTATAGGTACGTATTTTCTCGTTTCTATCACTTTAGGAATGCCCTCATTATCAGTTATCATCAGTATTAGGCGAAGTTGCCAATTCGCAAAGGCCTGTCCGCCACCTCAGAAACAAAAGATGACGAATGTGAATTTCTATGAACTTAGAAAACTGTTCATTGCAAGAAAGACCGCACCGTTATTTTTTTTCTTTTTGAAATAATTGTTTCAGAAACGACAACACTAAAAATATTGAATTTGAAAATCTCATAATGGCTTCTTAGCTTCTATAAACTGTTGGAATCTCAATAGACGTTAAATACTTCCAGTGGAACCAAATTTGAAAGTTAGAACTCTCTGCTTTCTCAGAAACAAGGTCTGCCCCGGTTCATGCTAATCAGTTTCGGGTCTGGAAATTGGTCCGGAACAATCCCAACTTTAAGGCAAGAGCAATTTTGTAGAGGTGAACCTTTTCATGATACTAGTTCAGCGTATGTCTGAAGAGTTACTGGGGTTAGAACTTACCTCTTCCAATCTGTGACCAGATGGGCGTGGTTGTCATGAATGAAATTTCAATGGCTTCATTTGTTATCAAACTCAAAACAGACACTGATCCTGGAAAACCGAATCAGAAAGCTCTATTGACATGGGCAACTTACTTGCCTCAAAAGAGCAGAAAATAAAACTCTTGAGACCATCCTGAAGGCTCCTTTGCCGGCATTTGATCAGTGGAGGAAGCTGTAACACATCTGCAAGCAGGGAAAGATCGTTCCTTTCGATTCGCAAGTCTACCCTGGAGTCAGGTTACCGGCCGCAAAATGGAGGTCGAATTGACGTTAAGACTTGGTATAGGTAATAATATGATATCGATTGCAATTTTCATCGGTAATAACATTATTTCGAGTTGTAAATGTTTCTTTTCAAGATAGAGTTGAAAACTCGATTCCCGGGTTGATACACGCGTATGCCATAAGCTCCAAACCAATGTGTAGGATCTTTTTTTTCTTTATTCCATTTCCTATTCTTTGGGGCGTTCTGATATCGAAGCGGTCAAATGAAATCATTACTCGAGGGAATTATCTAAGTAGTGTGTGATCATAGCTTAAGAATAATGTAAATTTTGGAAACGAGCACGTGGCAATTAACAGAGCCAAAACAAGCGATAAGCTTCGCTTTGAAGAAGAAATACGAGCTAGATAACATAATCACAAAACAAGTTATTGCTTACCAACGTTTTCGGGTCTTGATTATTTCATCGAGGATTACGGTCTAACCTGTCTTCCATTCAAAAAACGATCTTGACCACACGGGGTCTTAATATCCTGAACTGAAACGCTATAATTTTCTGTCCAAAAAGAACTTATCACGGAGGCGTCAGTCTAAACAAGAAAATATTTCGCAGCTTCTCTCGTAAGCGGTAACATTTAGCTTTGACTGAAGCGGTTGCACGAGTGCGATGTGGCGTTAATAAGCACGAGGTAATTTTTTTCAAAGACAACAAAATTACAGGCCTTGGGGCAAGTGTAATTTGTTGTCTGAAAAATTTACAAGACTGGTACCCTATTCACCGCAGGAAAAAATATTTGGTTAAACCTGGTTTAACTGTATGAAAATCAGAAACATAGAACTGAAAACTGAATTTTCCGTAGGATTTTAGTAATCACTAACTTGTATTTTCAGTGTGATACATGTGAAGTCGACAAACAGTAGTTGAAATATCTCCTAGGAAGAATGAAATTTTAAATGTGTGAACGAACAGCTTTTAATGGATTTTAAACAAAGGCCAAATTAGAATCTTCACGTGTAGCAACTCCAGTCCCAGATTATCAGGCAAGCGAATTAAAGTTTTATTTGATAAGTTTCCCCGACTGACTCATAATCCTGGCCATCGCTTTGACTTTCAACTTCACTTTGTTTACATGAAAATATTTTGGAACTACTCCTGCACACAACCAACACAATTTCAAAGCCATTTCGAAGTCAGTCATTATTCGGGAAAGCGGAAACTGTTAAGACATTTGAACAGTTTCAAAGATCAGAATTATTTGTTTTATTCGGCTATAAATCAGTTGGAATAAGATAAGTCGTTGTGATGTAATATTTTTTTCGTGCAAAACAGCGTGCTACCTAATAGCGAAGCTGTTGTAGGTTCAGTTTGCACTCAATTGAACCAATGAAATAAAGGTAAATGCAAATATGTACATAACACTGTAAACAACTTTTATGAACCGAATTATCGACAACTATTTCAAAAGATGTTGAAGCCAAACTATTGCGACTTGAAACCAAAAGGATACCATCATCTTAAGTCATTGTTCGTATTATCAGCGAGCTGGTTTCAGGGGACGTTGTCAAAGTGAATTTTGTTGCAAATCGTTGAATACTAAAAAGATGTTTGCGAAAAAAGGAAGCCATTGTAGTTAAGATGACTGTAAACTATGTCAATTTAATTTTAAAATATCCATTTCGACTGAAAATCATTATGAAACATTTCATTTTCTTTTTAATTTCTGAATGATGCAAATTTTGTGCAATCTGCTGAGTAAACACCTACTCTGACAATCTTTAGTTACCCTGCAGCCAAAACTGCTGTTTACTGGTTTTTTTTGGTTTTCGTCGAAAAGCAAAAATTCATTCATTTTGTAGACTAATGGACATTGTACGAGGGAAAAAACTGTCAGCGCCTTTCGCGACGTACAGGGTTTAAAAGGTGTTATTTGACTTTATGTGTTAGCTGCCTGGGAAACGACCTTAACTTTAAATAATAATCCGGCTTTATTACACTTGTCCTGACCGTGCATCATAACAACATTAATAAAGAATGACTCGTTGAAAATAACAACTTCAAAAAAATAGTGCTAAGAAAAAGAATGCAGAATCACTTCACCCTCCACCTTATCAGACGTAAAATTCCGTTTGAAAAGGAACAATCCGCAAATTTTCCAAGAATCGTTTCACGATGTTTGTGTGTCAACCGAACTAGAGAGGCCCATTCAATAAAAAGCGGTAACATCAAAGAGATAAAAATAGAATATTAAAAGATTTGGCTGAAAAAGTATTCAGTGGAAGGGCATGTATTGAGAAATTTAGTCTCTGAAAATTCTCACACTATTTTGGAAGCTATCAGGAAATGCAGCTTTTTTTTTTTTTTTCATCTAGAAGGGTAGACTCGAAACATGAATTAATATATTGTATGATGTCCCGTGGATTCACACAACAACAGGTCAGATAAAGGATGAGAGAGGAGAACATCAATCAACTTGACTCCTCACGCTCACTGTTTCTGTTTAGAACTCGGAAAATATATGAAAAACTAGTTGCTGTTTTAATGATATTTATTTTATCACCATACGTTAAGTAATCAATTCTTGTTTCCAATGACGTCGAAATGACCTTTGATCAAATATTTCTTTTTAGCTACTTGCAATGTTGCCCCATGGCCATCCCAGAAATCCCGATTACCGGCAACTCTCAGGCAGCACCGGCGTTTGTGACAAGACCCTTCTCCCCGCCGCCACCACTATACTTAAAATCTGGCCTGTGATGCCTAAAAGGCATTCACATGCAGACTATTTCTGTAATTACTCCTTTCCATACCCGTGTTCAAATTTCATGTAGCATCATTGAGGTCGTTATTGTCTTGCTTAGTTTTCGTTTTCTACTTCTTTCAAATGCAAATCTCTTTATAATAATTAACAAGTGAGGCAGGAGGGAAAACCGTATAGAATAAAAAAACATCTGCCCCCATTGAAAACAGTTAGTTTTGTTTTCCTAAGAGTAACGATGTTTCTAAAGAGTTTCGATGTTTCCCGGGAGTTCCGGTGTTTACCGAGAGTCTCGACCTTTCCCAGGAGTCTCGATGTTTCCAGGGAGTTTCGATCTTTCCCGGGAGTTCCGGTGTTTAACGAGAGTCTCGACCTTAACCAAGAGTCTCGATGTTTCAAGAGAGTTTCGATGTTGCCCGGGAGTTCCGGTGTTTATCGAGAGTCTCGACCTTTCCTAAGAGTCTCGATGTTTCCCGAGACGAAGTGGAGGGAAACATTAGAGATTTAAGCAAACTACGACGGCAACAGCAACAAGGACTCGGCAAAACAAAGATCTAATGAGCAGAACGAGAGCTCAGCGCGAGCGCTTTAAAACGTTGTGCATTTCGTAGTCGTCCCCCGCAAAATAACAACGTGAAATCACCAAAATTTGCATGGTCTGAGAGCGGAAACACCTGTCGGGAAAACCCGAAATCCATGTTTAACTTTATTTCTTGTACAGCAGTATTTCCGGTGTCGTTTTGCTGCACCAGGTATTTAATTCCGTCTTTTCATAAAGCAAGATAGCGCTTTTCTTTTAGCTACAGGCTCTTACATTGTGTTTTCAAAGAACTAGGGAAGAACTGGCGACAAATAAGCCTCGAAAATATCACGCCACAATCATACCACTGGCCTCAGTCACGTTCTGATCTCGTGAAAAACCTGGGCATTCAGGGGTACATTTGAATTTATGCAAAACACAACTCCCTTATCTAGAACGAGGGTAACAAACCATTGTTCAATGTTTATTGTTGCCTAGTTACTGAGACTGACTGACAGTAACATAGCGTGTTTTTTTATTTAATTATGAATAATTGACAAAGGGTGCGTCTAACACAGAGTTGCAAGTACTTAAGAAGTGCGCCAGCTCTCATTGCCTCAAGTTCAGCCCGCTCGTCGACGCTTTGTGACTACGCCTCCAATTTTCACTTCCTGAATCTCAAGGAAACATCAAGCTCTTCAAGATGAAGCTGTGGTTTGTTGCTGCCATACTCATCTCCGTTGCGTTTCCATCCGGTAAGTGATTTCATCGCAAAATGCATTTTTTTATCCACATCCTTTCGGATTGCAGCGAGCAACTGTAAGGCGAAGCCTTCGTCGCAAAAAATGTTAGTTTAGCCACCAGTGCAGTAAAACAGAGAATAAAATTATGTTACATATCAATTTATCGCAATTGAAATGAAAATGTCGGAGTCACTAAGATCGCTTCAAGCCTTCAGACAGAGACTAATACACGGGACAGAAAATATCAGCCAATTTTCGCCGCACAGCACAAGGACATTACCTTATCCCTAACAATTTAATTCATGATTTGAACTTCGATAAAAACAGAACCCTACTCCCGGTAATGAATGTATCTTTTGTTACAGATCTGAATCTTTTTGCTTTGAAGGTCAGCATTCTCTGATTGGCAAACTTACCTCGCCTTCTTTGTTAAAACTATCCACTACTGTGCAAATATCACATATTCGAGTTCAGCTCGAAAGTAGATCGAGAAAGATTTTCTTAAAAATTATTGATTGGTTAATTTGCAAACTTCTTAACGTCAAATGTTTCCATTTCTGTTTATTTTTTCGCCTTTAGTTTTTCCGACTTATCAGCGCCCGTGGCCTTTACATCTGTGTTCATCTGTAAACACATTTCTTCAGTTTAATTTTGAATGAGAAAAAAGCTTCGATATCGACGCACATCTTTGTTCGTTTTTTTGGAGGTCCTTCAGGGTTGATTTTCGACCCGCGAAGTTTTCTGTTGTTTAGGTAAAAATCCGTCGATTTTGGAACTATACTTTAAAGCAACAGCTTGCACTCAATAATTCACAGATCGCTTTGTGTACATTACGCTTTCTCTTCCTTCACTTGAAATCTAAATGAAAATTCGGTACGATTTGAAAATAAATTGAGTTTCGGTTGCCTCGAAATGCTCATATGAGGGACGATTTTCATGTTCTTGTGAGATATAATTTTGTTATTTCGCCCTAACAAAACCTTGAGAGCGAGTATTCAAATCAAATTGGTCTGTTCTTCTCAGATAATGTCGTGCGCACGGTTAAACAATGCACGAATTTGTTTTATCGTTTCTGTAACATGGATCAGTGAAAAAAACAATGAAAAAGAGTGTTTTCAATTATAGGTCGGTCGAATCTAACCACAAAGCCTAACAATTTCTAGCTTTAGCACTGTCCCTGCAAGTCAAGAACGTGACTAGACGCCTGTCCGACTTCAAGAAACACCTTCTAATATATCGCTCCGAGCGCTTCAAGGGCCGAGAACAAACAATCGAGACTTATTGCAAAGCCTTTTGCTAGAAAAGGCCGCATCATGGCTTTCCTCCCTTTTTTCTTTAACTTTTGAGAATCGTTATTTGCACGAGCCCGGGCAATCTTTCGTCAACGATTGTTAAAGACATCAACATTATTATTACAAGACGAAGGTAACAGAAAATTCTTAATAACATCTCAATGATATCCAACGGCCATCGTTGAAATTGTTAGTTCAGAACAGCAAGCGGCACCGTATGGGGCACTGTTTTGGATGGTAAACAGTTTTTAATGAGTTTACACTCGAATGGATCTGGACAAATATATCGATCCCTGCTAGCTAGGCGTCATGTCGTGCTTAATCTGTCCTCCGTGTTTTTAAATTTCTATTTTAAAATCCAAGTTGTCAAATTTATTACTAATAAATCAAAGGGGATTGCAAATTTGGCCCAAAAAGAGGTGGGGGGTTGAGGATGGGGCCACAATCCAAGGTCACCGGTGACCTGCCTCGGAACTATTTTCAGTTATTTTGCTCTTTCCTGAGGGTCGCAATGGGCAGATGTCTTTTACGACTAACGGTTATATCATTCCATTGTTGTCACCAGAAATTTTTTTACGGTTAACTTTTTTTACAAGCATCGATTGGCATTTGTCAATTTTTTTCGCCTCATGGCTAATTTTTTTCTATTTTTTTTGTCGGTTAACGCCCATTGAGACCCTCTTTCCCTGTGTAAATACATTACACGGAGTCTTAACCCTTTAGGTCCCAGATCAAATTTGTAATTCTCCTTACTGTCATCCATACAATTCTTATAATGTTAGTTCAGAGAATTTAGTATTGGATCAACTAATTATCCCCAAATTCATATTTTTCTTTATTCTCATCACTTATCTGGTTGATATTGTATTGATATTGTAAGGAGAAATTCTGTCGATCACTCATGGGATTAACTACACAGCGACTTTATTTTCTGATCTTTTGAAATCAAGCAGTATCTTTAGTTCCAAGGATTCAGTAGTAGGGGTTTGTACTTAGCGTTGCATTATCGTGTTGACACGAAGAAGCAATTTAAGTCCCTAAATCACTTTGTGATCCTAGAAGTTAATTAAAACTCTTTCTTCAAGGGCAGAAAAATATCCGAGGAATGTGTAGTGAGTAAACAAGGCTGCCGATTATCGAAATGTTAAAGGATCAAAGTAAATTGAAGTTGCTTCTTTGCATAAATGTAAGGATTGTGCTTGAATTTTCAAATTTTGTATCAAATTTCTCATTTGGGAAAAACTAGGTCAGTTAATAACGGTAGAAATTGTTATCTCATTCATCTTCATCTATGCATTCCTTCTCGTGTATGTTTTCAGTTTTGGGTTTGAAGTGCATGACCTGCACCAGTGCTGAGTCGTGGGATAAATGCGAAGGAAAAAGTACGACCTGCGTGGCTCCGATGGCCGATAAGTGTGTCAAAACCTACTTGAAAGTTGGCTCAGTTGAAACTTTCACTAGATCATGCGGATCCGATGCTTCCTGTGATAAAGAAACCAACCCTACTTGTAAAGCCGCCAGTGGATCCTTTGAGTGTAAAATCGACTGCTGCACAGGCGACGACTGCAATGCTGGCGCAGCAACCCGCATTAGCGGTATTCTCTTGTTGTCATGCGCCTTGGCCTCTCTGATGATGTTTTTCAAAGCCTGAGACTTGACTGAGTTCGAGGCTGAGGTCCAGCACGGCTCATGATCAAGGCCTCAACTAGTTACACGCTTTTTTGATGTATGTCAGTTGTGAATTAGAATAGAACGTCTTGCTTAAGACATAGTAGTGGTCTATAGGAAAATCTTCGTGAGACGGAGATGAAGTCAGGTCGATTTTAACTTACAAGAGAGGATGCTAGTCCGTCATAGTCTGTCACGTACTGTGCTTATTAGTTAAAGTAAAATAGAGGCTTATTTCAATTTTGTTACATAATGCCGCTGTGGGAAATAAAACGTTGTTTCTAACTACCTCTTCTTCAAGATTCTCTGATTTGATCAGTCCTAGGCATTACAGGAATGATATGGTTAAAAATTCCACTCCTCCTCCATATTGCGGCGAAATTAACATAAGCTTATGTGCACTAATAGGTACACTGCTTGTTAGAGTAACCCGTAACACGTTAAATATCATTATAGAGACCATTAAATTTGTCCGGTGGCCCCAAATAAAATGATTTCCGTTGTATGTATCACGGTGTTAGCTAAAGTTGTGGCACCCAAATATTTTTCTCACCCTGCCTAAAAAAGTTTCCAATTTTTCACAACTTCGCCTGTTCGTGCTCGTAAAACTCCCTGAAGAAGTCCACAAAACGAGTCGGAGGTTAAAGAAGTCTTACAACTACTGTTCACAGAGTTCAGCTCATTAGTTTAGTATTAAAATATTCTTCCAAAAAATTTCAATACGATCCGACTATGACTGGTCAACATGACTGGCAAGACGACTAAGCTTGATCTGTCAAATCCCCGATCACTCCGGACATTGTCCGCTTACCGGCCGTGATTTCGAGCCCTGGGCCCTCGTTTGGCGTGTGAGAGGTGTTCCAGTTCCTCTAGCTTCCACCACCATTTTCTTGGTTTTCACCATGGAAATCGCCTCAAAATAGGTAAAATGTATGAAGCTCTCACGGCGATGGTATTCAACCAATTACTCTAAGGGTTTGCACACATATTATTACATCCTTAATTAATGTCCGACGTAAGTATCAGTCAATTTGATAGACGGCTTGTCAATCAACAGAGGCAAATAAATGACCGAGTTTTTAGACTTTTCGATTCATCCAAATATTTGACAACTTTAAGGTCAAATATCTCCTCTTGCCAGAAAGCTACAACACTGATCTTGATTACCATGTATAATTTATCATTTCATCTCTGAAAGCCATCAAAAAAATATTTGGGCACTACCGTATTTTTGTCTTGGATGCCTTATAAAATCTGCGACTGTAACAAGTTTCTCTCAACTACATCTGTCACGCAATTCTGGCTCAAGGCGGTCAATTGACCAGATGAACCTGTAATTTTTTAGCTCTTCATACAAGATGATTGATCAAGAAAGGTAAAAAATGTGAAAAACTTTCGAAATTTTTCGTAGGAATGGAAAATTTTACGTTTAGAGAGATGCATGTTGGCGAAAAATTGATTGGAAAATCGTAGCGTTTCTTTCTTATGTCGTTTATTACTTTGGAGATTTGCTAAAATCAGCAAACATGGCTTTTGTAGGGCACAAAGCATTCATTAGTTTATAATTTGATTGCTTATCATCATCATTGCTCATTTTAGGAGATTTTAAAGTCACACGCTGGGTGTTGGTTTATATTATTACAAGTTCCAGTGTGCTACAACTTCGGCTTTTACAGATGAGAAATTCTGCGCTCTCGCTTGAGAGCAAATATCAATAGCTCTATCAAACTAAAAACTGTGCTACTATCCCGAAAATAAATTAAAATAGTGTTGTCGTTGTCACTTACCACCATCAACATTTCCATGCAGAGGTTCGCAAAACCAACATCTGTTGCGTGACGCGAAGGCTTTCCGTGGAAATTATTAAACCGCGTTGTTCATGCCAGCTGTCTGCACGATAACAATTTCAGAATAATCTGCAGATCTCTGGAATTATTTGCTTGCTTCGATCGTGAAGTATCTGCATTTTTTTTCAAGTATTCTATTACTACATATAAATTTACACCTCTCTCGATCGAGTATTCCCGGCGTTTAAATGCGTGACTTCTAAAATTTAAGAATGAGCCAGCAGTATTTTGACCAGTAGGCTTCCTGCAAATTTTCCTCGATGAAAAAATCCCAAGACATAGTCAGTTGTTTTCGTGAGCAAAGACAATAGATATGAAAGAAAAGTGAGATGCAAAGGTCTTTTTTTTTTCGCTTAGTAGCAGCTGTACCCTCTCCTGCAGTCTTCGTCTAAATTTCGCGAAGTCCCTCCTCATCTTCTTCCTTGTTCGGTCAGTTTCGACTTGTGAAGCTAGATCATCGGCATCGACCTCTTCGTCCTCATTCATACTTATAGAGGGGGACTTCGTCAATAACCAATTTTTGTTACGGCAGATAGCCGGCTGAAGTATTGAGCAATTTGCTGCTCTATCAACCAGTCAGTATGGCCTGTGTCGTCTCTTAAACTCGATATTTGGAAGCCACATTAGAGGCGGTTGCCTTACTACACGTCTAGGAGATAATTCTTTGCTTTCTGAGAAAAGGCGGCTGCTTTTTGTGTTTCTAAAAGAGACCATCCAAAGTCCACCTGGCTATTTAGGGATTGTTCGTCAAAATTTTTTACCTGAGGTCCGACCTTGAACGTAGCCACTCCCTACAGAATGGCAAGTCTTCGTTCATTTCCTCTCTTATTATGGGCAGATTTTTCTGTCAGCCTCACTTTGTTTTTCCCTTTGTTAAGGTGCTTTTGGATAGCATTGAATGACTAAAACGTCTTAATACATCCTTCCTCTTAGCAAGAACATCTCGCTTTCTTGTTCAGTCCGCGACGGATTGGGTATAGTTCTCGCGATGACCCGCGTTCGGAGATCTGTGCACGTTGCTGATAACCACCCGCTTCTCCGATTAGTTTGCTGAAAGTTTCTAATGTGATGAGCCTAGTGAGACCCTGAAGTGCTCCAAACTGTGCCAGTTGGTCTGCGCTATAAACTTGTCGCAGTTTTAAAGTTAGAGGGAGTATCGCCTGCCTCCATTTATGGAGGCGGGCCAAGAATAGTGGTTAATGTTTCCTTACTCGGAACTGGTTAGATCAAACGACCACCACAAACCGTATAATATTAAGCCAAGCTTTAATAATTATTTGATCTAAAAGAAATACATAAATACAATGTAAAAAATATCATAAGTTTGGTCAAATTTACGATCAAACGAATGCATTAGACAGACATCAGGTATTGGCTGATGAAGATCTGCGAAAAGATTTCTTTTAGGCAAAACTTCAAACCTGAAGTCTGAAAATTTCGCCTGGACTCTTTACGGGGTGATTTTTGATCTTTATAATAGCATTGTTTGTAAAACATTCCCACCAAAAGGCTATCGATCTAAGCATGTAGTAATTATCTCTCTTTGATTCAGGCTTTATTTTTAGAGTGCAAAACTGATTTGAAGCAGCGTTCTAAAAGTTCCCGATGTCTGTACGGTCAGTACGCTTTTTACGGACTCATGTCTCATGTTTTAGTTAAGCAGTTGCTTTCAGTAAGAGTGAAGATTTGCGAGGTTTGAATTTATGTTACCAGAATATGTTTGAGCTCTCTTTTCTGTCATTTTAAAAATTACTCAGTAACGGGTGATGTGGATGGTTTTTGCGAAACCGCGCTCGCTGACGAACTTTAAAGAATTTTAAATTACTTCAACTGAGACTCCACAGACCTTCACAAACCAAATTAACCTGGTTTTTAATTTTTCAAAGCTTGGCATAATCTTTTTACAGTCGCCATCTATTTAAAAAAAATTATAGTTTTTATTCGATTAGGAGAAAAAATCTGAAAAGAATATATATATTCCAGTTTCTACTGCTGCTGCTGCTGCAAAAAAAATGCAGTATCTGCCAATTTGTCTCGTTTCGCGGGCGCTTAAATATGTGCCACCACCTTTGGAATAGATTAAAGGCTGAAAATGGCACAAGATGGATGGTATTTTCTGTGAACTCGTGTCTAAAAGTTTTGGTTTCAGCGGAAGGCATAAGGGGTGAGTTGATTGATGCGATACTACACCATTGCGGCTTACGATTAACTATTTGCCGATAACTTGAGCCACTTCACACTACTCTGAGCCGTTTGTGTCAAGTCACTGAACCAGAGCACAGTTAGCTGAGCCGTTTGTCATTTCGACACTGAACTTGTGTTAGTTAACACTTGGCCACTCGTGTTTTTATTGAATCAGTTTAACAAGGGTATCTACATAGTTTCTGAATTGTATAAACCACTTTTTGTATGAATATTTCATCTCACCCAAGGCGACTTGTCTGTTTACTGGGATACCTGTGGTAGCCCAGTCATAAAATGCCTATGTTTTTTTGTCGTCTTTTTTTTTTCCTTCCCCAAAAAACGGAAAAATTGCGCAATAGTACCCAGTGGTCATTGGGCCCTCGACACCATGACAACTAACTGTGATCCAATGAGGTGTTCACATGCTGATCACGCGTGTCATCTTGATGATGATTGACGTTGTCATACATGGATAGGGCCGGGTCACATGACAAACCACGAGATTTTTGGTCATAAAACTCTTTTGTCAGTCGTTTTGTATTTCAACGTGTTTGGATTACGATCATCTGGAGCATTGTGGCGCAAACGCTCAAAATACTTACAGACGCATTCACAAGTCGTATTGTTCGCGGCCAATCCACGCTAAAAGATGTTATTGAGCGGTAATTTTGGAACGGATTGAGTCGCGAACGCTTGAAAGTCATGAAAGCCTTGAATGCCTTGTATGCCTTGTATGCCTTGTATGCCAATTACGCCAATGTCTTAGTTGAAAAACGTACACTCGTTGTAAAAAGCAAAATCTGAAATCTGAAACCAAACTGCATATACTCTATGTAATCTATTGAACAACACTATTACCGTGAGACTGAAGAACAAAACTCTAATGGATGCAAACTGCTTGTGAAGAAAGACGCCATGTTGGATTCAATTGATGCCAGGGAACGTAGCTACGAAAACAGTGCGAATGGTATTAATTTCACGATCAGAAAGGTGAATCTTATGTTTGTTTTCATTGTAGTTGTATGGATATTCTTTTTTAATAAATACATGATCCAGAGTCCTATGTTTTTTGTGTATAATGTTATTATGTTAACTATTGTTTACGCAATTGTCTTGTCACAGGCAACCCAAGCTCACGCCTCGAGAAAAAGCCAACGATTAATTCATGAACGCGTCACGCAATGTGTGACTCGGTGTTAAGCTACGAGAGGAACCATTGAAAATTTGAACACGTTATAAGGAATAGTATAGGGATCGAAATATGGTCGATTTACAACGATAAATATTTCGAAATATGAACATTTTTCTCGTAAAATCAAGAAAACTCACTCATACCCTGTGTATCCGTTGTAGTTTCTGGCGATTTCTGCCGTTTTAATCTTGCTTTACCATCACTGTTATTCACGTCATCTACTTTTATTACGTTGGTAAAATCTGTACAGAAATCACACCAACCAACTCGCGCGCAAAGTAAGAAGACTATATTGAAGGCTTGAAATAATATTGCGATCGATTTTCATCAAGAAATGGGCTAGGAGTTTTCCACAATAGTGCAAATAATCGTGAAGGCTAGTCGCGGAAAAGCGATTGCGTGACGCTCGGTAAGCTGTAAGATGACATGTTATTATATACCAGACGTAAAAACTCTTCAGATTCTCGGTCTGCATTTTGTACTCACTCTGCAGTCTGCAGTCTAGATTTTGTATCCGGTCTGCAGTCTGCTGTCTGCATTCTGTACTAACAGGTATCCGTGGCACCAATACAGTTTATTTTTGGTTACATTTATTCGCACAACACACACACACCATAATCTACCTCAAAATACCTGTGTGTGAGGTAATTCGACATTTCCGTTCTTTTCCACGTTAATACTCTTCTTTCCTTTTGTAACAATGTAGATCACTTACAATGTTTCAAGTAATCCACCCACCCTACAAAAAATAACTCTTGCATGCATAGCATGCCTATGTTTGAAATAGGTGTATACCCGTAGTATCACTACACTTGATTCCAAGGATCCAGTACCATCCAGGTATCCCAGTTACCCTGTTCACAGGGTCTAGTTGTATTTTACATAAATCTCTTAAGATAAGATTAACCGTTCTCCAAAGAATAATCAGTTGACAATTATATGCCTGTATTTTTTACGGCGGCGGCCGCCTATATTACACCTTATGGACAGTGCAGCTGCAGCGTCAACTAACATTTCAAATTACTTTTGCGCTCTATGACCTAAACGACACATCGAGTTATTCACGAACGTAGTGGATATTTCGCAAAGTTCACCACGTTGGTTTTTTTATTTCTCACTTTCGCTAGTTGTTTTTATTCTTATTTGCAAGGCTGCAATCCACACTTATGGTGAACTAGCCTACGTGTAGCTTTACGCTCCCCCCGCCCGTTCCCTTGCTTCCGTTTCACCTGGGGTACGGGTACACGTAGGCTAGTGGTTAACTGACCGATTCATTCTTCTGGCTTGTAGAGTTTTCCGCAGGGATTCCTATTTCGCAAATTACAGATTTCTATTTTGCAAATCATTGGCATATTTTCATTATCACAGATTTCTATTTTGCATTTGATTTTCCATTTCGTAAATTTGCAAATCATTAGCATATTTCCATTTCCCAAATTTGCACATATCAAACTCATGGGGTACAAATAGTCTTAACATGAATGTGGTGACCACGCCCACTTCAACACCCCACTCAAATCGAGTGTAATTTTCGAATGTTTTACCATCGTGCGGATTCTCTACGGAAAAAAGCACTCAATGTACCTCTGAAATATTAAACTATAATATTGTGGCTTTCTATTTCGCTAATTTTCTAACTTGAAGGTAAAGTTTTTCCCTCGTCATTTTTACCTTTTCTCCGAGCGGTTGCGTGAAATTAACAAGGCGTTTTTGATCAAAACACGACCGAGCGAAGGGTCTCGAGCGATATCTCTTTTACGCAGGCGCAAATTAAAAATGTACCGCCAGAATCAAAAAGAGGAACAAATTTCCTTTGTTTTGATATGTAAAGTGTCGAACAAAAAGCAGATTTACCCTCGTCAAATGGCGTTTCAAAACAGCTGTACCTTCCTCCTTTTGATTTTTTTCCTGTTTTGTAAGCGTGAAAGCAGTAGGAGAGGGATCGGGAAACTCAGAAAGCGCTTCGGGAATTAATCTGCCATCGTTTATTTACGAGATAAACAAGTAAGATTTTTGAAGTTCGTTGAATTATGAAGTCTAAATAAATGCCTTTTTTAAGCTTGTTTGCTGGATTTTTCGTAAACTTCCCTTATTAATTTTTCGTTTCAGCTTACTAATTTATACTATTTCAAAGCAATGTAAAGACGAAGACGGAGAACCATGAGTCGTTCCTTTCAACAATCGTAAACAAAGTGTTTGAGCAATCAGATGTACGAGGTGTAATAATCAATAGCGGCATATCAGAAGTCTTCAGAAAGAAAGTATTCTGTCTTCAGAAAGCTGTCAAGAAAGCTAGTAATCGTGGCGGAAGGTAACTAAATGCACTTCTTAGCAAGTTGGAAACGGGCCCTCGGTATCGATTTAATATCATATCGATCTCAATATCATACAGTTTTGTATCTTTCTTCCGTGGATTCACCTTTCTAACGAAGGTGTATGTTGAGTATTCATCGCAAAATCGCTTTGTTTTTCTTATTTCCCTCTTTGGCCTGTCCGCCATTTTGAAAATTCGTAACGGAGAGCATGTGCATTACGTGGGGTTAGTGGTTGCGTACACCTGGAACCGAGAAAAACAAATGTTCGTCGCACTGGGGAAAGAGTTTGATATGATCAGAAGCATATTTCCATTTTGCAAATTACAGATTTTCATTTCGTTTCGTTTCGTTTCGCAAATTACATTAAGCCCCTGGAAAGAGCTAGCGACAAATTAGGGTCAGAAAAGAGACCTTCGAAAATATCACGCCATAATCATACCACTGACCTCAGTCACGTTCTGATCACGTGAAAAAACCTTCCTTTTAGAAAGATGAAGACAAACGATTGTTCACTGTTTATTGTTGCCTAGTTATTGAGAATGACTGACAGCAACATAGCGTGTTTTCACATAGGGTGCGTTGTCATAACACAGAACTGCAAGTACTAAGGGAGTGCGCAAGATCCCACGGCTCAAGTTCAGCCCGCTCGTCGACGCTTCGAGACTACGCCTCCAATTTTCAGTTTCTGACTCTCAAGGAAACATCAAGCTCTTCAAGATGAAGCTGTGGTTTGTTGCTGCCATTCTTATCTCCGTTGCGTTTCCAGCCGGTGAGTGATTTCATCGTAAAATGCTTTTTTTCTTTCAGATTCCTTTCGGATTGCAGCGAGCAACTTAAAGGCGAAGCCAGCCTTGTAAATCATTTTAGATTCGCCGTCAGTGCAATAAAATAGAGAATAAAGCAATGTTACATATCAATTTATCGCAATTGAAATGAAAACATCGGAGTCACTAAGGTCGCTTCGAGCCTTCAGACAGAGAGTGATACACGAGACAAAAAATTAGTCAATTTCAACCGCACAGTACAAAAACATTCTTATAACCCCAACAATTTAATCGATGATTTGAACTCCGATAAAAACAGAACCCTACGAAAGCCGTAAAGGAACAATCCAAAAATATTTTGCAAATCCGAAAAAATATTAAGGATCGATGTCTTTCAGACAAATCGCTTTTGAAAAGTTTGTCAGATCGAAAAAACAATTTAAATCCTGGTTTAATTCAAAGATCTGCAAATAACATGAAGATCGAAAACAGTTTACAACCCAAGAATCTTTCCAAAATCCAGAAAATTTCCTCAAATCGTGAAGAACATTTTGTCACCTGACACTTGCGCCAGTAGTCAGTACCTTGTCTCGATTCAGTACATTGTGTCGCATTAAGTTGCGCTAGGTCGACTTGGAGTCATTACGTGAACGTGCTAAGCTGTACCAAGAGTTTATTAAACTGTTTTCAGACTTTGGGGCATATTTATGCCAAACCTAAGGATCCTGTCGTGAAAGAACAACGAACCGACGCTATTTATTCTATTCCGTGCATTGATTGTGATTATGAGTGTATAGGACAGATCAAGCGTCAGTTTGGTACACGTTTGAAAGAGCATCAAAAAGCGGTCTTCTTTTGCAAAAAAGAAAATTCAGCTTTATCGGAGTACATACGCCTGACCAACCATACAATTGGGTGGAATAATTCTAAAATTATCAATACCAATCGGCGTTGCTATCAGCGCCTTTGTTTGGAAGCCTGGCATATCAAGTCCGCCCACGCTCCTTTAAATCGTGATGATGACAGCTTACTTCCTGACGCCTATTTACACCTCGTCACAAAAAAAGACAGCTAATTAGAGAGCGAAAAAGAGACCTCTTGTTGCAGCGTTTAGGTTAGCTTACGTGTAGCTGTACCCTCCCCCACAAGCGCTCGTAAAATTTGCATGATCATGTCTCGGGAACATCAATATTGTGGTTTGTTCTTAGCTTGTTCCACATCGCACGATTGTCAGATTCTTTGTACACGTTCAACGCAGACCCACACGAAGGCACGTTTTTTAAACTTTGCAATGTTTTGTTTGTACAGTAGTGACATTTGATCTGAGCGATTGACATTTGAAATTAATAATTAATGTATATTCACGTAATCTGTGTAGCTTTCGTCATGGAAAAGGGACATTCATCGCGATCGACACTAGATTAGGTTGTAAATAGGCACCAATTTCAATTATACGACCTGAAGGATATCCAAGAAGTGATGGAGAGCCTTCGATTTCGCGTTTAACTATTTCCCGAACTTCGTGCACTGAATGGACTTCAGTTCTATTTCTCAACCCATACTCACGCAACCATCTCTTTAGAGTCCTCAAGTTCATAGAAATATCATGGTATTTTTCTAAAAACTGAACAATAGTATTATAACGAAATCCTCTTTCAAAGTAATGTTCAATGGCAGATCTCTCCTCTGACGAACTGCACAACACATTTTTCTGTTTGGGTCTCTTCAATGTTCCACATCGACGGCAGAATACCTCATTGCTCGCAAATTCTTTTCCAAATTTGTAGTAGAACATCGCAATACACCCAATACAGTTTAGTGAGTCCGTCCGCGCACAGGTGGCCTAAGTTCCAGCTGTGAGATGATCATCTTGCGAAGGAAGAGTCATGGCGGAATTATAAGAGTTTGTATGGGAATTTTTACTACCGCTCTTAGGAAAAAAAATATTGTCAAATTCTCAATAAAACAACCTCACCTTACTTCCACAGTGCATCGCTTGCTATCTGACCGCTTACTATGTTGAAAAGAACCCATTTGAGAGAGTTACCATTTCTACGTTCACTGCGTACATAAGAAAATGGCTTTTCTTATGTGCGTAATAACGTACGCATCGCCTTGTGTACATTACTCTTTCTTTCTTTCTTTCTCCTTCTCTCTTGGTGCGATTTGAAGATAAAGTGAGTTTCGGTTGCCTTGAAATGCTCTTATGAGGGACGATTTTCATATTCTTGTGAGGTATAATTTTGTGATTTCGCCCTAATAACACCTTGAAAGCGAGTATTCAAATCAGATCGGTATGTTCTTCTCAGACAATGTTGTGCACACGGTTAAAACACTGCGCGAAATGTTTTTTCATTTCTATAATATGGATCGTTGAAAAAAAAAACTACGAAAAAGAGTGTTTTCAATTATAAGTCAGTCGAATCTAACCAAAAAGCTTCACAAATACAAGCCAAGCCTGTCCAACTTCAAGAAACTCCTAATATATCGTTCCAAGCACTTCAATGGACGAAGACAAACAATCGCGTGATATTGCAAAGCGTTTTGCTAAAAAGGAGAAAATCATGATTTTCCTTTTTTTTTTCTTTTAACTTTTGAGAATCGTTATTTGCGTAAAGCAATTTTCGTTCAAGATTGTTGAAAGACATCAACATAATTATTAGTAATTGTTGTTGAAAATATCGCGTTTACGATCCTCCACTTTTTGAGTTATGCGTGTGATTTTTGAGTCGTCTTGTGCACCATCAGTTGCCTCACGTTTTCCTTTGTTTACATAGTATGTAATAACGAAATTTATCTATATTCCTTTAATCATTGACCTTGTCGGATGAGATCATGGAATTTCTGGTCCTTAGCCCTTAACTTAGCAGCATATAGAATTCACAAGCGCTATCATCAGCAATTTTAACGTTGATACCTTTGCTATATGAAATCATTGTTTGTACAATCGTACAAGGCAATCTTCTTCTCTTTTCAGAAACACAATTTTCCTTTTTTTGATACAATAAACACACGCTTGAGTGTCATGTCACCCGATGCCTCTTACTTACCTAGTTTTCAATGATATTCAAAGGCCATCGCTGTAATTGTTAGTTCAGAACAGCAAGCGGCACCTGTCATTTCCATTTCTTAGCTGACAAGTGGCATCGTGTGCGGCACTGTCTAGGATGGTAAACAGTTTTTAATTTTAGGTTTATAATCGAATGGATCTGGACAGAGATACCGATCCCTGCATGCTAGCTAGCTGTCATGTCGTGCTTAATCTGTCCTCGCTTTATTGAAATTTCGATTGTCTAAATTTATTAGAGATAAATTATAGGGATTGCAAATTGGCCCATAGAGGGGTGGGGAAGGGAGGACAGGGCCACACCCCTAGGTCACCGGTGACCTGCCTCGGAACTATTTGAAGTTATTTTGCTCTTTCCCGAGGGTTTCGATGGGCTGATAGCTTTTACGGCTAACGGTTATATCATTCCATTGTTGTCACGAGAAATTTTTTTTACGGTTAACCTTTTTTACAACTATCGATTAGCATTTGTCAATTTTTTTTTTTGCCTCACGGCTATTTCTCTTTCTGTCGTTTACAGCCTTTCCCTATGTAAACACATTAAACGGAGTCTTAAAGTAAAGTTACTATAAAGCGACTTTATTTTCTGATCTTTTGAAATCAAGCAGTGTCTTGAGTTCCACGGGTTTGTACTTAGCGTTGTATTATGGTGTTGAAACGCAGAAGCAATTGAAGTCCTTTAATTACTTTGTAGTCTTAGAAGTTAATTAAAACTCTTTCTGTAAGGGCAGAAAATTATCAGAGAAATATTTAGTGAGTAAATAAGGGTGCTGGTTATCGAAATGTTAAAGGATCAAAGTAAATTGAATTTGCTTCTTTGCATTAATGTAATGATTATGCGTAAAATTTCAAGTTTTGTCTCTAATTTCTCATTTGGGAAAAAATAGGTCAGTTAATAACGGTAGAAATTGTTATCTCATTCATCTTCATTTAAGCGTTCCTTGTCGTGTGTGTTTTCAGTTATGGGTTTGAAGTGCATGACCTGCACCAGTGCTGAGTCGTGGGATAAATGCGAAGGAAAAAGTACGACCTGCGTGGCTTCGCTGGCCGATCAATGTGTGAAACTCCACTATAAAGCTGGCCCAGTCGAAACGTTCTTTAAAGGGTGCGGATCTGATGTTTACTGTGATGAAAAAACCAACCCTTCTTGTAAAGCTAAAGCTACCAATGCATCCTACGAGTGTAACATCAACTGCTGCACAGGCGACGACTGCAATGCTGGCGCAGCAACCCGCATCACCGGTATTGTCTTGTTGTCATGCGCCCTGGCCTCTCTGATGATGTTTTTCAAAGCCTAAGACTTGAATGAGGCTGAGGTCCAGCACGGCTCATGATCAAGGCTGCAACTAGTTATACGCTTTTTTGAAGTATGTCAGTATTGAATTAGGATGGAACATCTTGCTTAAGACATAGTAGTCGTCGATAGGACGATCTTCGTGAGGCGGAGATGAAGTCAGGCCGATTTATACCTACAAGAGATGATGCTAGTCCATCATAGTCTGTCACGTACTGCATGTGCTTATTAGTTAAAGTAAAATAGAGGCTTTTTTAAATTTTGTTAAACGATGCAGCTTTGGGAAATAAAACGTTGTTTCTAACTACCTCTTCTTCAAGTTTCTCTGAATTTATCAGCACTAAGCGTTACAGGAATCATTTGGCTAAAAATTCCACGCCTCCTCCATATTGCGGCGAAATTAACATAAGCTTATGTGTATTAATAGGTACACTGCTTGTAAGAGTAACCCGCAACACGATAAATATCATTATCGTAACCATTAAATTTGTTCGGCGGCCCCAAATAAAATGATTTACTTTGTATGTATCACGGTGTTAGATAAAATCGTAGCACCCAAATATTTTTTCTCACCCTGCCTAATAAAAATTTCAAATTTTTCACAACTTCGCCTGTTCCTGCTCGTAAAACTCCCTAAAGAAGTCCACAAGGGAGTCTGAGATTAAAGAAGTTTTACAACTACTGTTCACAAAGTGCAGCTCATTAGTTTAGTATTAAAATTTTCTTTGAAAAAATTTCAATACGATCGACTATGACCGGTCAACATGACCGGCAAGACGACTAAGCTTGCCCAAATCCTCAATCAGTCCGGACATTGTCCGTTGACCGGCGGTTATTTCGAGCCCTGGGCCCTTTTTTGGCGTGTGAAAGGTGTTCCAACTCCTCTAGCTTCCAACCAATTTTGATTTAATTGCCGGAGCTTTTGGCCCCAAATGAAATTCACGAGCAACGACTTCGATGATGATCTCTTCAAAATCTCCACAAAAGTGTGACCAAAGATAAGCACATATTCAGGTTATACTGAGATTAGTAGACCCATTACTGTACTAGAAGCAGCTACTTTTCCTAGAAACTATAGCAATCAGCATTCGATTTAAAATATATATACCAGCCCTGTGAAAACAAAAAGGAAGACAATGTTTTTCCTTTCAGGTTTTTATTGCAGCGATGATATCTCACAATTGCGGCTCAATCTATTTTGGCCTCAATCCTCATTGGCCGTTTGAGTCGCGTAGCGCCATGGTTGCGTTAAATGAGTTCCCTTCTGCTCGCCATCTGTTTAACTAGAGCTGCTCTGTGGTCACTTCAGCGTTGAGCCCGACAATAATTTTGAAACAATCCAAAAAAGAAAAGTGAAAGCAACATGAAACAGTGGCGGCCTGTCTCCTGTCTTTTCTGCCTGCTTCTTTCCAAAGGTACGGCTAATTGTATCACTACCAATAACTGCAATAGGAAACAATCGACTGACTGATACCCAGTAACCGATTTTACTTCAAAGCTTACATTAATTTGCTGTGCTGCTACTGGGAACTCACTGTCCAACGGTTTCAATTACTTTAGCCTTTTTTGAGAACGTTTGCATCCTACAAACTTCAATAATTACTGACTATTCTTTACTTTCCTCAAGTATTTTTTGCCCAGCACTTTGGTAACGATTCTTATCGTTTCTGACGGCTACAACATCTAAATCTTTCAAATTTAGAGCGGCAACTTTTAGCTGCATCAATCAGTAATCCCCAGAGAGTTCGAAGTCTTTTAAATCTCTTTGATTTGTAGGGAAAGCTTGCAAACTGCATGAAATTTTGACTTCACTTGTTTCACCAGAGTTGAGCTTATTCATAATTTTTCGTAAGCCATTCTGCTACCTTTCTTTGTAAGTATCGCACAAATTTTCCTAATTTACCCTCCACTATGACACTCTGAACAGATGTCAAGACTATAACATTTGTAATATTTGACAGCAGAGGGTTAAAACGGAATAACTCAAGCTAACAAATGAAAATGTAAAATCTTTGTACAGCTCTTAGGCGAAGAATAGTGGTTCAAATATACAATTTTACGCAATTACAGGACTAAAAGTTTAAACAAAGGATGTAAAAAATGTCACAAATTTGGTCAAATTTGTGATCAAACGAATGTATCAGACAGACATCAGGTATTGGCTGATGAAGATCTGTGAATAGATTTCCGTCTTTCAGGAAAAACTTCAAAACCAAAGTCTGAAAATTTCCCCTGAACTCTTCTCGGGGTGATTTTTGATCTTAATGATGGCATCGTTTGTAAAACATTCCCACCAAAAAGCTATCGATCGAAGCACGTAGTAATTATTTCTCTTTGAGTCAGGCTTTATTTTTAGATCTGATGTCTGTATGGTCAGTACGCTTTTAACGGACTTCTTATGTTTTAGTAAAAATAGTTGCTTTCAGTAAAAGTGAAGATTTGCGAGGTCTGAAGTTATGTTACCAGAATATTCTTATGCTCTCTTTTTTTTTTTCATTTTCAAAAATAACTAACGAGCAATGTGGATGATTCTTGAGTAACGACGCTCGCTGACGAACTTCAAAAAATTTTTAATTAATTCAACTGAGACTCCACAGCCTTTTACAAACCAAATTAAACTGGTTTTAAATTTTACAAACCTTGGCAAAATCTTTGTACAGTCGCTATCTATTAAAAATATTCTTATTTTTCTTCGATAAGAAGAAAAAATCTAAATAAATATTATATTTTCTGTGAACTCATTTCTAATAGTTTTGGTTTCAGTGGAAGGCGGGAACTTTTTATTCTTCTTTCAGTGTTGGCCCTGAGTTGCTTTTCTTGTGAATCTCAATTTTCTTGGAGCCATTGCCGGAAGACAAGTAAAACATGTAAGCCTGAATATAAATGCGGCAAGGTGTACATCAACATTGACGGGAAGGAAAATTTTCAGAAGGATTGCCTGCCTCCGGAGTGGTGTTTAAAAGAAAACCATTATGACTGTAGAGATCATCTTCCCAAGAACAGCACCGTCTGTGACATTCATTGTTGCGATGATGATAACGATTGCAATGCGGGTGCGGTGCGCCAGATCAGCGGAATCCTGCAGTTGACATGCGTCCTGCTGTCGGTTTTGTAAATTAAGTTTCGATTTTATTGATTTAGACGCACTCAGTCCGCTTAGTGTTCATGAACTTTGAAAAGTACGACATACTTTGGTTCCAACAGAGCTGGAAGAAGTTGATTTTGTATTAATTTCCAAAGTACAATAAAACTGCGGAGACTGTTCCACCAATTCCTGAGGATACATAATATGAAATGACATCACATCTAGATTAGTTACTCGGGTCAATTGCACTGCTGGCCTCTCAGAACATTATCGTTACCAATAGCATACTCCTTGGACGTACGTTACTCCACCCCCCTCCCCTCCCAAGAGGCACAGATGGTGTTGACGAATCTTTGTTCTGAATACATTTATTGTCTCCTTTGCACTATGGTGGAAATAAGCTTGGATTTTTTATCTAGTTACGCTTGAAATGCAGAATTTGAATTTCTATTGCATTGATTCTACAGCCAGCCTACTACATTTTTTTTTATTTCCCATTTACCACCTGCAGTATTATCATAATCCTCAAACACTTGCATGTCTTGACAGACTTGACATGATACCTGTTGTCATTTTCATTATTCAATTTAGCTGTTCCTGTCAAACAACTCTCACAGTACTTCTCCGTCAATTTGATCTACCGATCAAGGGAATAATGATTAGAATAAACTTAGACCACTTTTATCAACAATTTACATTGATTGGCTTGAGTGAGGCTGTACCCAAACAACTCACTCTTTCAGGGGTATCGAACGGTCCCATTCAATTCAAAAGTGCTCGCAAAATTTGGTCTTTGCTCGAATTGCTTGCAAAAATTACACGAGTGCTCGCTTGCTCGTTCTCGCAAAATTTTTGCAACTGCTGGCATGCTCGCATTCTCGTTAACATGTGCTCGATTGCTCGAAATTTCGTTAATTCTACTTTGTAGTTATTTTTTAAACATATATAAACGATAAATCAGTTATGATATGGTTAAAACAAAAAGGTTGAAACATCCTTACCTCTAGCTTCAGTCTGTTGTTTCTTTGACCAGTTTCCCGGGCTTAAACCTTCTTTCGCTTGAACAAGAAAACGTGACTGGAACACAATCTATTTACCAGGAAACTCTGATATAGTTGAGAGGAAGCTCGACATGACGGAAGGTGACATAATGTCCTGTGGAGACATCATTTCTTGCGAACCTTTCTTGATCTAAATTCCCATTTATTTAAGCAAATTATTAGGGTTTGTAGATATGATGGATTTTCCGATGGAAAGTGGGAAATGAAATAGAGAGAGTCATGATATTCTGAAACAGTGTACTCGGATCGCATTTTGTAGCGGTTTTTGCAACCTTGGAAGCTTCCTGGCCACTCGTAATAATAACTATTATAATCTGATGCCAAACGGTGGCATATGAAACCCGATTAAACAAAACAACATTAATAACAACCCTCGGTCGTTTGGGCTTCACCGGCTCAGGGAAAGTCTTAAATGAAATGTTGCTTTAATTATTTTGATCAAAAACTAAAAGCCTAGCCAAACGGGGAGACATGTAGAAAGTAATCTAGAGAAATACTACCGTTACCAGTACTATTTGACCTTCGAATTCAGAGTTACCACCAGAGCTTGTCAGATCTGTACGGCTGTAATTGGTTAGATTCTAGAAGCCTCCAAATAAATAAGCTTCATTGCGTTGAATCTTTTTCAGTCAACCAGCAGGAAACCAGTTTGTCGATCATCGAAACCGAAGCCCGAAATGCTTGTTAGACAGAATGTCAGGTTATTTGCATTTCACAAGAACTATATGAGCAAAAAAACATACCTTCCATTTTATCGTCGGGTTAGAAATAGATGGAAAACTTAAGATCGCGGGCTTTGGAGGTGTCAGCCAGATTACTAGCTATTACTTGGCGCAAAAAAACGTATCTTATTAATAAAAGAGGGAATCCGGCTACTCCGAAAATTTACGATATATTCGAAGTGCTCGCTGCCCGCCATCTGTATTTTCCTAAAGTGCTCGCTGCTCGCCATCTGTATTATTTTTTAAGTGCTCGCTGCTCGCGAGAAAAATTTGACAACTGCTCGTGCTCGCAAAAATAAAAACACTCCTTGCATGCTCGAAAATGTTCACATAGACCATTCGATACCCCTTCTTCCGTTTTTCATCTGAGGTAAGTATGCGTCGGCAATGATCATTGGCTAAGAGCTGAAAAGAGGTTTGGGACCAGTCATTATTTATCGCCGGTGGGGGGTGGGTGGAGGATTTTTGGGGAATCACATGGTTTTCAGGGGAAATGGGGGGGAGAGGGTCAGTCGTCGCCAATATAGTAGGAGGCGAGAGGGACTATAGATTACCTGTTAATGAAGGGGAATCACACATAGACCCATGTAGACTGTTCCATTTCAAGCTTGACTCGTCCATTTCACTTCTGTATTTTTGGCAATTACGGCGTGAACCAACCGCTGTAACACTAAACCATATCGGTTTGTACTGAACCAACTGAGCCGTTTGTCATTTCGACACTGAAACATTTCAGTTAACACTTGGCCACTCGTGTTTTTATTGAATCAGTTTAACAAGGGTGGCTACATAGTTTCTGAATTGTATAAAACATTTTTTAAATGGTTAAGAATATATGAAAGTCATATATTTGAACTGCGGATAAAGACATGAATGAAAGTGATCCTCGCAGTAATGTGCACTACTTAGGTAGTGGTGAAAATAAGGCCTGAAAAAAATTCAGGGCTGTACGGGATTTGAACCCATGACCTCTGCGATACCGGTGCAGCGCTCTACCAACTGAGCTAACAAGCCAACTGGGAGCTGGTCAAATAAACCCGTGAAGTGATGAATAATATTCAGGCCTTATTTTCACTACTGCCTAAGTAGTGCACATTACTGCGAGGATTTGCATTTTTTGTTTGAATATTTCATTTCACCCAATGTCTATTTGTATTTTAAATAAATCTCTTAAGATAAGATAAAACGTTCTCCAAAAGACAATTAGAACATTTCTGTTTATTACAAACCATTTATTATGTCTGTATTTTTGGCGGTGACGGCCGCCTATGTTGCACCTTATAGACAGTACAGCTACAGCTTCAACTAATATTTCAAATTACTTTTGTGCTCTATGGCCTAAACGACGCATTGGGTTATTCACGAATGTAGTGGAGATTTCGCAAAGTTCACCACGCAGACTTTTTATTTGTCACTTTCGCTAGTTGTTTTTATTATTATTTGGCAGGCCGCACTCCACAGTTATGGTGAACTAGACTACGCTTTAATTTCACCTTGCGGGGGAGGGTACGGCTACATTTAGGCTAATGGTGAACTGACCGACTCATTCTTCTGGCTTGTGGAGTTTTCCGTAGGGATTCTCGTTTCGCAAATTACAGATTTCTATTTTGCAAATCATTGGCATATTTCCTTATTTCTATTTTGCAAATGATTAGCATAATTCCATTTCGCAAATTTGCAAATTATAAGCATATTTCCATCTCGCAAATTACAAATTATTAGCATATTTCCATCTCGCAAATTACAAATTTTCGTTTCGTTTCGTTTCGGTTCGTTTCGCAAATTACAGTAAGCCCCAGGGAAGAGTTAGCGACAAATTAAGAGGGTGTCTCTGTAAGAGCGGTCCGGTCGATTTTGCTTGAGACACGGATTTCGCTCATTTCTTGTGTGTTGTAAGACATTCATGTACCTATACTAAAACCATAATCTGTTTAATCCGATCTCTTTATTTTCAGAGTTTTACTGAAATTAATTTTCACTCGAGCGAAGGCCTGTCATGACACTTTTCAAGACTTTAATTTAAGACAACTTTGGAGGTCAATTTACAAAAGTACGGAACTCAGCAAAAAATAAATACCACAGCTATATATATTAACTCTATCTTTTCTATCGAGGCGACTTTCGTGAACATCACGTTGCAATCAAGCAAACGGGAAGACTTGAATGACACCTCATCGGTTCGCTTAAGTCACACACGCGGAAACCGATCAAATTCAAGGTAAATTTTTGAAAAAGTGAGGCGTTCTCAACTGATCCAACTATCATAGCTAGGAAGTAAGTGCCATAGAAAAGGTAATTGCAGAAAAAACCTTTGCGGTCCGACCTTTACGTAGACTTAATTAACTCCGTGAACTTACCTAATTTTCGGCAATCTCCAAATTTGGCCGCCATTTTGAGGGAGACACCCTCTTAAAGTCAGAGAAGGGAGCTTCGAAAATATCACGCCACAATCCTACCACTGGCCTCACACACGTTCTGATCACGTGAAAAACCTAGGCATTTTGGGGTACATTTGAATTTTTGCAAAATACAACTCCTATTTAGAATGAGAATGACGAAAGATTGGTCACTATTTACTGTTGCCTAGTTACTGAGACTGACTGACAGTAAAAAAAAACGTGTTTTTACATTGGGTGCATCTGTCTAACATAGATTTACTAGTACTGAGAAAGTGCGCAAGATCCCACTGCCTCAAGTTCAGCCCGCTCGTCGACGCTTTGAGACTACACCTCCAATTTTCAGTTTTTTGACTCTCAAGGAAACATCAAGCTCTTCAAAATGAAGCTGTGGTTTGTTACTGCCATACTTATCTCCGTTCCTCTTCCATCCGGTAAGTGATTTCATCGCAAAATTCATTTTTTTATCCACATCCTTTCGATCGCAGCGAGCAACTGTAAGGCGTAGCCATCGTCGTTAATCATGTTAGATTCGCCACAAGTACAGTAAAACAGAGAATAAAATGATGTTACACATCAATTTATCGCAATTGAAATGGAAACATCGGAGTCACTAGATCGCTTCGAGCCTTCCAACAAATAGCTTTGAAAAGTTTGTCAAATCGAAAAACAATTTCAAATCCTGGTTTAATTCAAAGATCTACAAATAACTTTCATGAAAATTGAACACAGTTTAAAATCCAAGAATCTTTCCAAATTCCAGAAAATCTCCGCAAATCGAGAAGAATATTTTGTCTCCTGACACTTGCGCCAGTAGTCAGCACTTTGTCACGATACAGCACTCTGTGTCGCTCTAAGTTGCGCTTGGTCGACTTGGAGTCACTAGGCGAACGGAGTAAACTGTACCAAATGTCTATTAAACTATTTTCAGACTTTGGGGCATATTTTTGTCAAACCTAAGGATCCTGTAACGAAAGAAAAATGAACCGATGCTATTTATTCTATTCCGTGCATTGGCTGTGATAACGAGTATGTCGGACAGATCAAACGTCAGTTTGGTACACATTTGAAAGAGCATCAAAAAGCTGTCTCCTTTTGCAAAAGAGAAAATTCAGCTTTGTCGGAGCACATATGCCTAACTAACCATACAATTGGGTGGAATAAGTCTAAAATTATTGGTAATCAGCGTTACCACCTGCGCCTTTGTTTGGAACCTAGCACATCAACTCCACCCACGCTCCTTTAAATTGTAATGATGGCGGCTTACTTCCCGACGCCTATTTACACTTGGCTAACTTTTAAAACAAGGAACGGGGAATGGGGAATCTTAAAACGAGGAATTTTTAAGAGCGGGAATCTCTAAAAAGGAGAATCTTTTAAAGCGTGGAATGAAATCGACCAAATGTATGAGCTATTTGTGGAAAAGTTTCTATTTTTTTTTTTGGATTTTACGCTAGTGAGACCTTAAAAATTCAGGTCTGTTGACACACGTAAAACTACGCGACAGTGGAAATCCCGCCGCGATTGAATTTTTCTCGACGAAACAATTCTGTTTTTGGTTAATATGGACTATTATTTTTTGCTCAGAGAGCACGGTAACGAGTCCTGCAATATATATATATTATTATATTTTTCACGTTTAATTATCTACCGAACTTCGAGCTCTGAATGGACTTCATTTCTCTCTTTTAACCCATACTCACGCAACCTTCTCTTTAGAGTCTTCAAGTTCATATAAATATCATGGTATTTTTCTAATAACTGAACAATAGTATCATAACGAAACCCTCTTTCAAAGTAATGTTCAATGGCAGATCTCTCCTCTGACGAACTGTAGAAAACATTTTTCTGTTTGGGTCTCTTTAATGTCGCACATCGACGGCAGAATTGCTCATTGCTCGCAAATTCTTTCCCACAATTGTGGCAGAACATCGTAATACCTTGGTACTGTTTGGTCCGTTTGTGTAGTGACTCTAAGTGGAGCTAGTGCAACCTAGAGCGACACAATGTGCTATATCGTGACAAATTGCCGACTACTGGCGCAAGTGTTAGGCAACAAAATGTTTTTCTCGATTTGCGAAAATTTTCTGGATTTCGGAAAGATTCTTGGATCGTAAACTGTTCGATTTTCATGACAGTTATTTGTGGATTTATGAATTAAACCAGGATTTGAAATTGTTTTCTCGATTTGACAAACTTTTCAAAAGCAATTTGTCTAAAAAGATGCCGATTCTTAATATTTTTTCGGATTTGCAAAATATTTTTGGACTGTCCCTTTTCGGCTCCCGTAGAACCCTGCTCCTGGTAATAATACCGATTCTTAATATATGCATGGGCAGAAAAATATCAGAGGAATGTTCAGTGAGTAAACAAGGGTCCAGGTTATCGAAATGTTAATTAAGAATCAAAGTAAATTGAAGTTGCTCCTTTACATAAATGTAATAATTATGCGTAAATTTTTAAATTTTGTAGCTAATTTCTCATTTGGGAAAAACTAGGTCAGTTAATAACGGTAAAAATTGTTATCTCATTCACCTTCATCTATGCTTTCCTTGCCGTGTATGTTTTCAGTTTTCAGTTTGAAATGTATGGTCTGCGTCAGTTCCGAGTCATGGGATAAATGCGAAGGAATAAGCAGGACCTGCGTGGCTTCGATGGCCGATCAATGTGTGAAAGTCTACTATAGAACTGGTTCAACCGAGGTGTTCCATAAAATGTGCGGAAGCGATGCTTTCTGTGATGAAAAAACCAACCCTACTTGTAAAGACGCCAGTGGATCCTTTGAGTGTAAAATCAACTGCTGCACAGGCGACGACTGCAATGCTGGCGCAGCAACCCGCATCAGCGGTATTCTCTTGTTGTCATGCGCCCTGGCCTCTCTGATGATCTTTTTCAAAGCCTGAGACTTGACTAAGGTTGAGGTCCAGTACAGTTCATGATCTGAGGCTGCAACTAGTTATACGCTTTATTGAAGTACGTCAGTAGTGAATTAGGAGAGAACGTCTTGCTTATAGGACATAGTAGTCGTCCATAGAACGATCTTCGTGAGTCGGAGATGAAGTCAGGCCGATTTACACCTACAAGAGGGGATGCTAGTCCATCATAGTCACGTACTACATGTGCTTATTAGTTTAAGTAAAAGGGGCTTTTTAAATTTTGTTTAATGATGCAGCTCTGGGAAATAAAACGTTGTCTCTAACTACTTCTTCTTCAAGATCCTCTGATTTAATCAGCACTAAGCGTTACAGGAATCATTTGGCTAAAAATTCTACTACTCCTCCATACTGCAGCGAAATAAACAAAAGCTTATGTGTAGGTACACTGCCTGTAAGAGTAACCCGTAACACGATAAATATCATTATCTTGACAATTAAATTTGTCCGGCGCACATGAAATGTGGCCTCGATTACGCGCACATGTCGCCTCGATCGCGCGCAGAATAATCGGTGCATTAGCAAATTTCAACTGGTCGTGTACGAGCTTCTTTGTCAATGGATGGTAATAGCGTTTCGATTACCGGTGTTAAGGGTCGGACTTACCAAATGAATATGTGGCACAAAATGGCCGAACTCTGCTACACGTGCACCTACTATGATAGCAATAACTGGAAGTTCTTTCCACACGGAGAAATAAATCAGCTGTTTCCTTGTGGCAATCTCCTCAATCGCTTTATCGTCCCCGTGACGTTCCTCTTTCTCTTGATTGTCGTTATCATCTTCATCACTCTCAATGTTGGGATCAAATGTCACAGCGAGAGAACACAAGATGAACGCCACTCCCGCCATTATGCGATAGGTCGTTTGCCAGCTAACGGTGATTCTCACAATGGCCTCTGACGTGGGGCCTATAACTCCTCCACCGTGCCCAGCTGTTAATACCCCTGTGGCTAATGACCGTCCCTTTTCAAAGTACTTTCCCATTGCCACCAGACCCGCAGAGAACGTGCAACTGGATCCCAAACCAATAGGAGACTGTAGGTAAAGAAGAGAACCATCATGTTCTCCACGAAAGAACTCGCAATCAAACTAACGACACAGAATGTGCCTCCGATCAAAGTTGTGACACTGCAGCCAAATCGAGTAACCAGAGCAGAAGACAGGTGCTCAGTGAAGAAGGCCAAGGCGATACCAACAGAATCGAACCATGCTAAAACATCAAATACAGCATCACACATGTTACTTTTTTTTTCTTTTTTTTTATTTCAAATGACGGCTATAACGAAAATGACATCAGTATGCATATTCTCCAAACTGTTCTCTTTACATTTCCCAGGATACCGACATGGAAAATTTATTTCTAACAATAAAGAGCTTCTCTGATCATTTCCTTAACTCTCGTGACCTTCTTGTTCGATTCAGGAGTGAACTGTAAGGAGAAATTAAATGCTAGATGCTTTATGATCTTGCGGGAATTGATATTAAGATCAAGTTTGGGAGTGAACCAGGCCCCTTCATTAAGTATATGGAGCCCGACGGCAGTGCAACCGGTGTACAGGATGTAGAAATGCAAATTTCACTACGAGGATCCCTTTATGGGCGGCCGTCACCGCCAAAAACACAGGCATAGTAAATGGTTTGTAATAAACAGAAATGATCTTATTTTCTTTTGGAGAACGGTTTATCTTATCATAAGAGATTTATTAAAATACAAATAGAGAAGTCGCCTTAGGTGAAATGAAATATTCAAACAAAAAATGGTTTATACCATTCAGAAAATGTGTAGCTACCCTTGTTGAACTGATTCATTAAAAACACGAGTGGCCAAGTGTTAACTGAAATGGTTCAGTGTCGATATGACAAACAGTTCAGCTAACTGTACTTTGGTTTAGTAACTTGACACAAACGGTTCAGAGAAGTATGAAATGGCTCAAGTTATCGGCAAATGGTTAGGCAAATGGTGAACTGACCGATTTATTCTTCTGGCTTGTGGAGTTTTCCGTTGGGATTCTCGTTTCGCAAATTACAGATTTCTATTTTGCAAATCACTGGCATATTTTCATTATTACAGATTTCTATTTTGCAAATCATAAGCATATTTCCTTATTTCTATTCTGCAAATAATTAGCATATTTCGTGTGACGTGTGGTCCGTACACACTGTACCTTCTACGGTGAATTATTTGAAGCTGAAGATACCTTATAAGCACTCTTCAATATCTACTCTTCGCAAAGACTCTCTTACACGCCACTCCAGCATATGATACCCCATTGACCGTAGTATCACAAGGGTAATACGATACCCACTGCGTGGAAAATACATTCTTTACAATTTCATCTAGTTCAGAGTCAGACATCTGGTAAAACTTTGTAGACAATGAAATTCCATAGTCGCATAATCTTTTACTGATTTACAGTGGCCTGACCGACTGCCAGCATTTTTACCATTTCAGAGACTTTGAACCCGAATTCTACGAAAAATTGTAGTTGCGCCTCTTGTATATCGTATCGTAGACGTCCTCGATTTCCACCTAAGACTTTTTGCGTACAATATCCTTGATCACTTATTGTAGAGACTTGGTCCAACTCATCTGCTTTAAGTTCCTTAGCATCCCTTACATACTGAAATGCACTGCATTCGATATCCACAACCTGTGAACTTAGAGCCAAAATGTGCTCTATTCTATCAATTTTAAAATAAAGATAATCAACCTCATCATTCCGCAAGTTATCAGCATATAGCAGATTCAAAACTTCCCTGATAGATCGAGCAATATGCTCTTTTACGTAGCCTCTTTCACCTTGAGTTCAACTTTGAGTCGCCATTTCGGTTTTGCATCCTTAGTGGTTTCTATTAGCGGTCTTCCCCCGCAGGTCAATCGATAATTTCTCGTATCTTCTTAGGCAAATCGGCGCTGTTCATACAAGTGTGGACTTTGTTGGCACAAAGTGGAGTTGTTTGCACAAAGTTAACGTTGTTCGTACAAACTAGATGTTGTTCATAAAAAGTTGAGGTTCGTACCAGGTGTGAACGTTGTTTGCACAAAATTAACGTTGTATGTGCAAAAGAGTCGGCGTTATTTGCACAAAGTTGACGTTGTTCGTCAAAGTATTGAATAAAGAAAGACGAAAATTGGCAAGTTAATTTTGATATAAAAACCGCTTCATACTCGTCGTAAATCGCTGTTGTCTGAAAAGTTGACCGTGAAAACAGTTAGTTCATCATCTTTTTCGTTTGTGTAAAAATACATTATCAACTCGCACCGATCAGAATTGACAAAAGAATCGGCAAAAGGGGTTAAGCAATTAAAAGTCATTATATACTTTCTTGCAAAAGAGTGACGTCACGTAACGCGGTTAGTGTCAGGTTTGCGTAGACGTTGCCTCGCCTCCGTTTCACCTTGCCGTGGGGAGGGTACGGCTACACGTAGGCTAATTACAATAAGCCCTAGGGAAGAGCTAGCGACAAATTAAGGTCAGAGAAGGGAGCCTCAAAAATGTCACGCCATAATCATACCACTGGCCTCAGTCACGTGCTGATCACGTGAAAAACTTGGGCATTTTGGGGTACATTTAAATTTATGCAAAATACAACTCCTATTAAGAACGAGAATGACAAAAGATTGTTCACTATTTATTGTTGCCTAGTTACTGAGACTGACTGACAGTAAAAAAAGCGTGTTTTTACATTGGGTGGGGCTGTCTAACACAGAGTTGCTAGTACTTAGAAAGTGCGCAAGACTCCACTGCCTCAAGTTCAGCCCGCCTGTTGACGCTTTGAGACTACACCTCCAATTTCCTGTTTCTGACTCTCAAGGAAACATCAAGCTCTTCAAGATGAAGCTGTGGTTTGTTGCTGCCATACTTATCTCCGTTGCGTTTCCGACCGGTAAGTGATTTCATCGCAAAATGCATTTTTTTATCCACATCCTTTCGGATTGCAGCGCACAACTGTAAGGCGAAGCCAGCGTTGTAAATCATGTTAGATTCGCCACCAATGCAGTAGAACAGAGAATAAAATCATGGATATTACGTATCTAAACGAGACAGAAAAAATAAGCTAAATTCCGCTGCACATTACAAGGACATTCCTTTATCACTAACAATTAAATCCATGATTTGAACTTCGATAAAAACAGAACCCTTTGGATGCCGAAAAAGGGACAATCCAAAAATGTTTTGCAAATCCAAAAATATAATAGGAATCGATATCTTTTAGACAAATCGCTTTTGAAAAGTTTGTCAAATCGAGAAAACAATTTCAAATCCTGATTTAATTCATAGATCCACAAACAACTTTCATTACAATCGAAACAGTTTACAATCCAAGAATCTTTCGCAAATCTCGCAAATCGAGAAGAATAGTCGGCAGTTTGTCACGATACAGCACATTGTGTCGCACTAAGTTGCGCTAGGTCGACTTGGAGTCACTACGCGAAAGGGCTAAACTGTACCAAGTGTTTATTAAACTGTTTTCAGACTTTGGGGCATATTTCGCCAAACTCAAAGGCCCATTTCCAACCTTGATGCAACGGGGTCGTTTGTTTTTGTTTTGAACCACCGCGTTTGTTTAAATAGCGCCTCTGATTGGTCAGTTATTTTTACCTTGTTACGTCTCAAAATACCTTTTGCGTTTTCTCCGACGAATTTGAAGAGCTTATCAAAATAATTCTGTTTAAAACAGTTTTATACGTTTTAATCTGGTATGGAATCAGATGAATCCGTTGATTTAGTAGATTCCGAGGCAGTAAACGCTTATGGATCGGTTGTTGCTAAGGAGAAACGCGAAAATCCTTGCGAGCATTTTGTCAGTGTCGCTGACGTTCTTGCAATGAAGTGACTAAACTTAAAGTAATTAAACGTCCGGAAGTCCGATATTTTTCCATATTATTCTTCGCAATCCAAAAAATATTTATACGAAAATGTTCTACTTTATTTACAATCCTCAAGCGCTTTCAGGCAGCCTAAAATTTCGAACTTGATGTTTTTCGCTAACCCTGTATACAGAGTATAAAGCCATCCAAGCGCTTGACACTAAAAAACTTTTCAATGACAAGGCTGGACACGGTCCTCAAATAACTCCACATTTCTCTTTGAAATAATCCAATTTTTCGTTGGGAAATATTCTACCTTCCTTTACAATCCTCAAGCGCCTCTAGAAAGTGAAAAAATGCCAACGTTATCCGTTTCGCTGACCTTGTACACAGAGTGCGAAGAGATCCAAGCGTGACACTAAGGAAATTTTCACCGGACACTACCGGACACGGTCTTCGAATGACTATAAAACGTCCGGCATTCTGATATTTTCCCCATTTCTCTTTGAAAAATACCAATTTCTATTGGAAATATTTTATCTTCATTTAGAATCCTCAAGCGCCTCTAGAAAGTGAAAAAATTCGAACGTTGTCCTCTTCGCCGACTTTGTTCACAGAGTATGAAGCGTGACACTTAAAAAAAATTTTCAGTAGAGTTTTTTTTTAATTCCGGCAGCAAGTCAAGAAGTTCAGTGCTGCTCACCTGTTTACTACATGGCTTTCCTAAAACACTCCTAGCAGAGAAACTCTTGGAAAGTAATTACTTTTAATAAAATAACCAAGACACTGTATCTTCAGAGTTTTCACTTATTATGGCAGACCCAGAAAACTGACTCAAATTTGGTAGCAATTGTGACAAAAGCAGTTTTCAGTAGTTGTCGTTTTTGTTTTCTATGATAGCTTAGTAATCCACTATGGATGCCGCATGGAACTCTCAAAAAATGTTTTGTGTACTTTATGTATCGATCAATTTGATGCTTCAAATTGAAAAAAAGAAAAAATTAGTTTCACCAACTAAAAGAGTTCTCCACACAAAGATGAACTATGACACTAAATTTTATTATTCACAAAATTGTCTTCATAATAAAAAGTTTGATAGAATTCTCGCAAAAAATAATTTCTCATACATTTCGATGGTCCGAAAGATTCTCTTTCAAACAAATCTTATGGTAACTATAACAGGATAAAATAAATATATTGATTTGGATATATTTCTCAATCTTTTAAGTAATACTATCTTCTTTACATCTCAAAATTATATCATAACATTGGTTAACACAAAGAACTAAAATATATTAAAGTTTAGAACTAGTAATAAGAACTAGTATAGCAAACCTTTGTGTCAGAAGGCCTCTGAGTGCTAAGAATGGGAATATCAATTCACTGAATGTTTATCACTGACAGAAACTTAAATGAGTGTAAAGGACTAGAATTTTTGAGATCAGTAGCTGAGAGGAAGCATTTCTGTTCTCTTCCTTTAACCCTTAAATACCTAAGATCTGATTGTCAATTCTCCCTTCTAGTTGTTACACATTTACTTGTGAATAAGTTATGAGAATTTGATGTAAGATCAAGATAACTTCTGCCTGATAAGTTTCAGTATTAACATTATCTGTTTACTGGATAGTGTTTGGAGAAGTTACATGAATCAGTCACTTCTGTGAGTTTTTAAATTGTCTAATATTTTGGTCTGATTCTCTCAATGGTGTCTTGCCACCTAATAAATTACCATGAGTCGCGAACTGAAATGGTTTTCAATGTATCACGAGCATAAGTTGTCCTGGGCCAGATGGGTATGAAAATATTATGACATCTGTTAGTTACAGTTTTCCTCGTGGGTTGATAGAAACAAGGGTTATAATCAGGTGGTTCTACAGGCTCTATTGTATAGTTTCCCATAAGATAAAATGTACAAATGGCAAACTAAAAGACATCTTAGTGAACAAAATGGGAACAACTTTTAACTGAAGAATATGGTACAACAACAAGTACCACATCAACAACAGTAGCAATAACAAATCTCCTCTACCTAGAGGGCTGCAGCCTTTGCCTCGCTTTCTAAGCCATACTGAACAGCTTCTGTGGTACTTCCTGTGATGCGTTCCTCTCAACACGATGTGGCGATATTCTCGTGAAACAACGGGGTAATCGTAAAGCTGACTTAAATTCATCTGAGGTAAATTACGGAGATTGCTCGCCCATCCAAGGGCTGAAATCCTTACTATAGTTTCTTCGTATCTGAAGTCACTCTGGCTTTGTTGTAGGTCCTGGACATCTGTAAGAAGTTCTTGGTTTGCTCCACTACTCGATGGAAGGACGTGTCACATCAGCAAAGCATAAACTTTCAACACTAAGTCGGCTCTAATTCAGCCCGTCGATTTTAAATTAGATTTTAGAATCTCCCTGAGATCTTTTGCTTCGAGTTTCTGGATGTCATCTAATGACGAAATTTTCATATTGTTGTGTTAAAGAACTATTTTGAAGGGAGAAATCGCATTGAAAAGTACATTAGATCGTGAAATGTCAGCAGATCAGCTGTTTGAAAGAATCGCCGGGTCAACCCCAGCCTCGTTATCGTGTGTGCGCGGTTACTAATCCAATATGGCGCCGGAAACTGTAAAAAGGTGTAATAAATCCGGCTAAAATTGTCACCACTAATCAGCTTTACTACAGGCGCCTTTGTTTAGAAGCGTGACATATCAACTCAGGCTCTTTTGAATTGTGATGATGGCGGCTTCCTTCTTAACTCCTATTTACATCTCGTCAGAAAAAAGGGCAGCTAATTGGTGAGCGAATAAAAAAACCTCTTGTTGCAGAGTTTAGATCAACCCTGATGAACGCACGAGACAGGAGTGTCGAAACGTTGAGTCTATGAATTGTAACTTCGCGGTTACATTCATTAAATCTTTAAACTAGAGTAGCATCAAACCATGTCTGATTGTCCACCTGGTTGCCACGTGAATTTTAATGTATTTTACCAAGTGCGTTGCGATGTTCTGCCATAAATGTGGAAAAGAATTTGAGAGCAATGAGCTATTCTGCCGTCGATGTGGAACATAAAGAGACCCGAACGGAAAAATGATCCAGAGGCAGATGCCCTGGATCAACGGCTCTCGTAACTTCCGCATGGCCATGTCTCGAGGAACAGCAACATTATAGTTTGTTCTTAGCTTGTTCCACATCGCACAATTGTCAGATTCTTTGCACTCATTCAACGCAGACCCACATGAACTGCCACGTTTTTTAAACTTGTTATGCAACGCTTTGTTTGTACAGTGGTGACATTTGATCTGAGCGATTGACATTTGAAACTAATAAATGTATATTTACATGACCTGTGTAGTTTCCGACATTGAAAGGGACATTCATCGCGATCGACACTGGGTTAGGTTGTAAAAAGGCACGAATTTCAATTATACGACCTGAAGTTTATTGAAACGATATCCAAGAAGTAATGAAGAGCTTTCAATTTCACGTTTAATTATCTCCCGAACTTCGAGCTCTGAATGGACTTCATTTCTCTCTTTCAACCCATACTCACGCAACCTTCTCTTTGGAGTCCTCGAGTTCATAGAAATATCTGTTTTCGATTTGCATGGAAGTTATTTGTAAACCTATGAATTAAACCATGATTTGAAATTGTTTTCTCGATTTGACAAACTTTTCAAAAGCGATTTGTCTAAAAAAATGCCGATTCTTAATATTTTTTCGGAATTGCAAAATATTTTTGGATTGTCCCTTTTCGGCTTCGGTAGAACCCTGCTCCTGGTAATAATACCGATTCCTAATATATGCATGAGCAGAAAAATATCAGAGGAATGTTCGGTGAGTAAACAAGGGTCCAGGTTATCGAAATGTTAATTAAGGATCAAAGTAAATTGAAGTTGCTCCTTTACATCAATGAAATAATTATGCGTAAATTTTCAAATTTTGTAGCTAATTTCTCATTTGAGAAAAACTAGGTCAGTTAATAACGGTAGAAATTGTTATCTCATTCATCTTCATCTAAGCATTCCCTTTCGTGTGTGTTTTCAGTTTTGAGTTTGAAATGCAAGGCCTGCGCCAGTGTCAAGTCATGGGATGAATGCAAAGATTCGGAAGTAAGTATGACCTGCCTAGCTTATGCGTCCGAACAATGTGTGAAATTCTACTTTAAAACTCCATCAGGCGAATCGTTCATTAAAACGTGCGGAACCGATGCTTACTGTAATGAAAAAACCAACCCTACTTGTAAACATGCCACTGAATACTATGAGTGTGACATCTACTGCTGCAAAGGCGACAACTGCAATGGTGGCACAGGAACTCGCATCAGCGGTATTCTCTTGGTATCATGCGCCCTGGCCTCTCTGATGATCTTTTACAAAGCCTGAGACTTGACTGAGGCTGATGTCCAGCACGGCTCATGATCAAGACTGCAACTAGTTATAAGCTTTCTTTGAAGGATGTCAGTTGTGAATTAAGATAGAACGTCTTGCTTAAGACATAGTAGTCGTCTGTAGGACGATCTTCGTGAAACGGAGATGAAGTCAGGCCGATTTATACCTACAAGAGAGGATGCTAGTCCATCGTAGTCTGCACGTATTGTGCTTATTAGTTAAAGTAAAGTAGAGGCTTTTTTAAAAGTTGTTAAATGATGCAGCTCTGGGAAATAAAACGTTGTTTCTAACTACCTCTTCTGATTTAATCAGCACTATGCGTTACAGGAATCATTTGGCTAAAAATTCCACTCTTCCTCCATATTGCGGCGAAATTAACATAAGCTTATGTGTATTAATAGGTACACTGCTTGTAAGAGTAACCCGTAACACGTTAAATATCATCATCGTGACCATTAAATTTGTCCAGCGCCCCCAAATAAAACGATTTCCGTTGTACGTATCACCCTGCCTAAAAAAAATTTCCAAATTTTTACAATTTCACCTGTACCTGCTCCTAAAACTCCCTGAGGAAGTCCACAAAACGAGTCGGAGATTAAAGAAGTTTTCCAACCACTGTTTACAGAGTGCTGCTCATTAGTTTAGCATTGCAATATTCTTTAAAAAAAATTTAAATACGATCGACTAAGACTGGTCAACATGACCGGCAAGACGACTAACTCCTTGACCGGTAAAATCCTCATTCAGTCTCAAGCTTCCACCGGTTTTGATTTAATTGTTGGAGCTTTTAGCTCCAAATGAAATTCAACAATAACGACTTCGATGATGATCTCAGTAATCCAAAGATAAGCACATATTCAGGTTATACTGTGATTTGTAGACCCATTACTGTACTGAAAGCAGCTACTTTTCCTAGAAACTATAGCAATCAGCATTCGATTTAAAATATATATACCAGCCCTTTGAAAACAAAAAGGAATGCAATTTTTTTTCCTCTCAGTTTTATTATTACTGTGATAATATCTGACAACTGCTGCTAAATCTATTTTGGCCCCAGTCCTCATTGGCCGGTTGTCTCGCGGAGCGCCATGGTTGCGTTACATGGGTTCCCTTCCGCTCGCCATCTGTTTATATATAGTTGCTCTGTGGTCACTCCAGCATTGAGTCCCACAGTTATTTTGAAACAAACCAAATAAAAGCAATATGAAACAGTGGCGACTTGTCTCCTGTCTTTTCTTCCTGCTTTTTCCCAAAGGTACGGCTAACTGTATCAGTACCAATGACTGCAATAGGAAACAATCGACTGACTGATACCCAGTAACCAAGTTTGCTTCAAAGCTTACATTAATTTGCTCTGCTGTTACTGGGAACTCACTGTCCACCGGTTTTAATCACTGTAGCCTTTTTGAAAACTTTTACATCTTACAAACTTCAATAATTACCGACTAATTCTTAACTTTCCTCAAATATTTTTGCCCAGCACTTTTTTAACGATTCTTATCTTTTCTAACTGCGGCTACAACGTCTAAATCTTTCAGATTTAGAACGGCAACTTTAGCTGCATCAATAATCCCCAGAGAGTTCGAAGTCTCTTAAATCTCTTTCATTTGTAGGGAAAGCTTGCAAACTGCATGAAATTTTGACTTCATTTGTTTAACCAGAGTTGAGCTTATTCATAATTTTTCGTAAGCCATTCTGCTACCTTTCTTTGAAAGTATCGCACAAATTTTCCTTATTTACCCTCCACTATGACACTCTGAACAGACGTCAAGACTATAACATTTGTAATATTTGACAGCAGAGGGTTAAAACGGAATAACTCAAGCTAACAAATAAGAATGTAAAATCTTTGTTTAGCTCTTAGGCGAAGAATAGTGGTTAAAACAGACAATTTTATGCAATTTCAGGACTAAAAAGTTAAAACAAAGGATGTAAAAATATCACAATTTTGGTCAAATTTATGATCAAACGAATGCATCAGACAGACATCAGGTATTGGCTGATGAAGATCTGTGAATAGATTTCCGTCTTTCAGTAAAAACTTCAAAACTTAAGTCTGAAAATTTCGCCTGAACTCTTCTCGGGGTGATTTTTGATCTTTATGATATCATCGTTTGTAAAACATTCCCACCAAAAAGCTATCGATCGAAGCAGGTAGTAATTATTTCTCTTTGAGTCAGGCTTTATTTTTAGAGATGCAAAACTGATTTGAAGCAGCGTTCTAAAAATTTCTGTATAGTCAGTGCGCTTTTTACAGACTTCTTATGTTTTAGAAAAATAGTTGCTTTCAGTAAAAGTGAAGATTTGCGAGGTCTGAAGTTATGTTACCAGAATATTCTTGTGCTCTCTTTTTTTTTAATTTTCAAAAATAACTAACGAGCAATGTGGATGATTCTTGAGTAACGACGCTCGCTGACGAACTTCAAAGAATTTTAAATTAATTCAACTGAGACTCCACAGACTTTTACAAACCAAATTAATTAGTTTTAAATTTTACTTGGCAAAATCTTTTTACAGTCGCTATCTATTAAAAATATTCTAATTTTTCTTCGATAAGAAGAAAAAATATAAATAATTATTATATTTTCTGTGAACTCATTTCTAATAGTTTTGGTTTTAGTGGAAGGCGGGAGGCGTGAACGAAAACAACTTTTTATTCTTCTTTCAGTGTTGGCCCTGAGTTGCTTTTCTTGTGAATCTCAATTTTCTTGGAGCCATTGCCGGAAGACAAGTAAAACATGTAAGCCTGAATATAAATGCGGCAAGGTGTACATCATCTATTGCATTGATTCTGCAGCCAGCCTACTACATTTTTTTTTATTTCCCATTTACCATCTGCAGTATTATCATAATCCTCAAACACTTGCATGTCTTGACAGACTTGACGTGATACCTGTTGTCATTTTCAATATTCAATTTAGCTGTTCCTGTCAAACAACTCTCACAGTACTTCTCCGTCAATTTGATCTACGGATCAAGGGAATAATGATTAGAATAAACTTAGACCACTTTTATTAACAATTTACATTGATTAGCTTGAGTGAGGCTGTGCCCAAGCAACTCACTCTTTCAGGGGTATCGAACGGTCCCATTCAATTCAAAAGTGCTCGCAAAATTTGGTCTTTGCTCGAATTGCTTGCAAAAATTACACGGGTGCTCGCTTGCTCGTTCTCGCAAAATTTTTGCAACTGCTGGCATGCTCGCATTCTCGTTAACACGTGCTCGATTGCTCGAAATTTCGTTAATTCTGCTTTGTAGTTATTTTTTAAACATATATAATCGATAAATCAGTTATGATATGGTTAAAACAAAAAGGTTGAAACATCCTTACCTCTAGCTTCAGTCTTTGTTGTTTCTTTGACCAGTTTCCCGGGCTTAAACCTTCTTTCGCTTGAACAAGAAAACGTGACTGGAACACAATCTATTTACCAGGAAACTCTGATATAGTTGAGAGGAAGCTCGACATGACGGAAGGTGACATAATCTCCTGTGGAGACATCATTTCTTGCGAACCTTTCTTGATCTAAATTCCCATTTATTTAAGCAAATTATTAGGGTTTGTAGATATGATGGATTTTCCGATGGAAAGTGGGAAATGAAATAGAGAGAGTCATGATATTCTGAAACAGTGTACTCGGATCGCATTTTGTAGCGGTTTTTGCAACCTTGGAAGCTTCCTGGCCACTCGTAATAATAACTACTATAATCTGATGCCAAACGGTGGCATATGAAACCCGATTAAACAAAACAACATTAATAATAACCCTCGGTCGTTTGGGCTTCACCGGCTCAGGGAAAGTCTTAAATGAAATGTTGCTTTAATTATTTTGATCAAAAACTAAAAGCCTAGCCAAACGAGGAGACATGTCTAGAAACTGTCTCCATGTCACGCGGAAACACGAAATGAAAGGCACCCGCGAGGGTAGAAAGTAATCTAGAGAAATACTACCGTTACCAATACTATTTGACCTTCGAATTCAGAGTTACCACCAGAGCTTGTCAGATCTGTACGGCTGTAATTGGTTAGATTCTAGAAGCCTCCAAATAAATAAGCTTCATTGCGTTGAATCTTTTTCAGTCAACCAGCAGGAAACCAGTTTGTCGATCATCGAAACCGAAGCCCGAAATGCTTGTTAGACAGAATGTCAGGTTATTTGCATTTCACAAGAACTATATGAGCAAAAAAACATACCTTCCATTTTATCGTCGGGTTAGAAATAGATGGAAAACTTAAGATCGCGGGCTTTGGAGGTGTCAGCCAGATTACTAGCTATTACTTGGCGCAAAAAAACGTATCTTATTAATAAAAGAGGGAATCCGGCTACTCCGAAAATTTACGATATATTCGAAGTGCTCGCTGCCCGCCATCTGTATTTTCCTAAAGTGCTCGCTGCTCGCCATCTGTATTATTTTTTAAGTGCTCGCTGCTCGCGAGAAAAATTTGACAACTGCTCGTGCTCGCAAAAATAAAAACACTCCTTGCATGCTCGAAAATGTTCACATAGACCATTCGATACCCCTTCTTCCGTTTTTCATCTGAGGTAAGTATGCGTCGGCAATGATCATTGGCTAAGAGCTGAAAAGAGGTTTGGGACCAGTCATTATTTATCGCCGGTGGGGGGTGGGTGGAGGATTTTTGGGGAATCACATGGTTTTCAGGGGAAATGGAGGGGGGAGGGGAGAGGGTCAGTCGTCGCCAATATAGTAGGAGGCGAGAGGGGACTATAGATTACCTGTTAATGAAGGGGAATCACACATAGACCCATGTAGACTGTTCCATTTCAAGCTTGACTCGTCCATTTCACTTCTGTATTTTTGGCAATTACGGCGTGAACCAACCGCTGTAACACTAAACCATATCGGTTTGTACTGAACCAACTGAGCCGTTTGTCATTTCGACACTGAAACATTTCAGTTAACACTTGGCCACTCGTGTTTTTATTGAATCAGTTCAACAAGGGTGGCTACATAGTTTCTGAATTGTATAAAACATTTTTTAAATAGTTAAGAATATATGAAAGTCATATATTTGAACTGCGGATAAAGACATGAATGAAAGTGATCCTCGCAGTAATGTGCACTACTTAGGCAGTGGTGAAAATAAGGCCTGAAAAAAATTCAGGCCTGTACGGGATTTGAACCCATGACCTCTGCGATACCGGTGCAGCGCTCTACCAACTGAGCTAACAAGCCAACTGGGAGCTGGTCATGAAGTTGGTTCTAAATAAACCCGTGAAGTGATGAATAATATTCAGGCCATATTTTCACTACTGCCTAAGTAGTGCACATTACTGCGAGAATTTGCATTTTTTGTTTGAATATTTCATTTCACCCAATGTCTATTTGTATTTTAAATAAATCTCTTAAGATAAGATAAAACGTTCTCCAAAAGACAGTTAGAACATTTCTGTTTATTACAAACCATTTATTATGTCTGTATTTTTGGCGGTGACGGCCGCCTATGTTGCACCTTATAGACAGTACAGCTACAGCTTCAACTAATATTTCAAATTACTTTTGTGCTCTATGGCCTAAACGACGCATTGGGTTATTCACGAATGTAGTGGAGATTTCGCAAAGTTCACCACGCAGACTTTTTATTTGTCACTTTCGCTAGTTGTTTTTATTATTATTTGGCAGGCCGCACTCCACAGTTATGGTGAACTAGACTACGCTTTAATTTCACCTTGCGGGGGAGGGTACGGCTACATTTAGGCTAATGGTGAACTGACCGACTCATTCTTCTGGCTTGTGGAGTTTTCCGTAGGGATTCTCGTTTCGCAAATTACAGATTTCTATTTTGAAAATCATTGGCATATTTCCTTATTTCTATTTTGCAAATGATTAGCATAATTCCATTTCGCAAATTTGCAAATTATAAGCATATTTCCATCTCGCAAATTACAAATTATTAGCATATTTCCATCTCGCAAATTACAAATTTTCGTTTCGTTTCGTTTCGGTTCGTTTCGCAAATTACAGTAAGCCCCAGGGAAGAGTTAGCGACAAATTAAGAGGGTGTCTCTGTAAGAGCGGTCCGGTCGATTTTGCTTGAGACACGGATTTCGCTCATTTCTTGTGTGTTGTAAGACATTCATGTACCTATACTAAAACCATAATCTGTTTAATCCGATCTCTTTATTTTCAGAGTTTTACTGAAATTAATTTTCACTCGAGCGAAGGCCGGTCATGACACTTTTCAAGACTTTAATTTAAGACAACTTTGGAGGTCAATTTACAAAAGTACGGAACTCAGCAAAAAATAAATACCACAGCTATATATATTAACTCTATCTTTTCTATCGAGGCGACTTTCGTGAACATCACGTTGCAATCAAGCAAACGGGAAGACTTGAATGACACCTCATCGGTTCGCTTAAATCACACACGCGGAAACCGATCAAATTCAAGGTAAATTTTTGAAAAAGTGAGGCGTTCTCAACTGATCCAACTATCATAGCTAGGAAGTAAGTGCCATAGAAAAGGTAATTGCAGAAAAAACCTTTGCGGTCCGACCTTTACGTAGACTTAATTAACTCCGTGAACCTACCTAATTTTCGGCAATCTCCAAATTTGGCCGCCATTTTGAGGGAGACACCCTCTTAAAGTCAGAGAAGGGAGCTTCGAAAATATCACGCCACAACCATACCACTGGCCTCACACACGTTCTGATCACGTGAAAAACCTAGGCATTTTGGGGTACATTTGAATTTTTGCAAAATACAACTCCTATTTAGAATGAGAATGACGAAAGATTGGTCACTATTTACTGTTGCCTAGTTACTGAGACTGACTGACAGTAAAAAAAAAACGTGTTTTTACATTGGGTGCATCTGTCTAACATAGATTTACTAGTACTGAGAAAGTGCGCAAGATCCCACTGCCTCAAGTTCAGCCCGCTCGTCGACGCTTTGAGACTACACCTCCAATTTTCAGTTTTTTGACTCTCAAGGAAACATCAAGCTCTTCAAAATGAAGCTGTGGTTTGTTACTGCCATACTTATCTCCGTTCCTCTTCCATCCGGTAAGTGATTTCATCGCAAAATGCATTTTTTTATCCACATCCTTTCGATCGCAGCGAGCAACTGTAAGGCGAAGCCATCGTCGTAAATCATGTTAGATTCGCCACAAGTACAGTAAAACAGAGAATAAAATGATGTTACACATCAATTTATCGCAATTGAAATGGAAACATCGGAGTCACTAAGATCGCTTCGAGCCTTCCAACGAATAGCTTTGAAAAGTTTGTCAAATCGAAAAACAATTTCAAATCCTGGTTTAATTCAAAGATCTACAAATAACTTTCATGAAAATCGAACACAGTTTAAAATCCAAGAATCTTTCCAAATTCCAGAAAATCTACGCAAATCGAGAAGAATATTTTGTCTCCTGACACTTGCGCCAGTAATCAGCACTTTGTCACGATACAGCTCTCTGTGTCGCTCTAAGTTGCGCTTGGTCGACTTGGAGTCACTAGGCGAACGGAGTAAACTGTACCAAGTGTCTATTAAACTATTTTCAGACTTTGGGGCATATTTTTGTCAAACCTAAGGATCCTGTAACGAAAGAAAAATGAACCGACGCTATTTATTCTATTCCGTGCATTGGCTGTGATAACGAGTATGTCGGACAGATCAAACGTCAGTTTGGTACACATTTGAAAGAGCATCAAAAAGCTGTCTCCTTTTGCAAAAGAGAAAATTCAGCTTTGTCGGAGCACATATGCCTAATTAACCATACAATTGGGTGGGATAAGTCTAAAATTATTGGTAATCAGCGTTACCACCTGCGCCTTTGTTTGAAACCTAGCACATCAACTCCGCCCACGCTCCTTTAAATTGTGATGATGGCGCCTTACTTCCTGACGCCTATTTACACTTGGCTAACTTTTAAAACAAGGAACAGGGAATGGGGAATCTTAAAATGAGGAATCTTTAAGAGCGAGAATCTCTAAAAAGGAGAATCTTTTAAAGCGTGGAATGAAATCGACCAAATGTATGAGCTATCTGTGGAAAAGTTTCTATTTTTTTTTTCGGATTTTACGCTAGTGAGATCTTAAAAATTCAGGTCTGTTGACACACGTAAAACTACGCGACAGTGGAAATCCCGCCGCGATTGAAGTTTGCTCGACGAAACAATTCTGTTTTTGGTTAATATGGACTATTATTTTTTGCTCAGAGAGCACGGTAACGAGTCCTGCAATCGGATTGGTTCTTTACGCGGTCCGTACTTTCCTATTTCTGCCCTCGGACAACCGTGACGCTTTCGTGAGTCGCCGAGTACATCCTTACTTTCGTTGCCATTTTTTTACAAATATATCTCGTTACGCCTCGAGTAACTCTTACGCATCTTTCGTGCTCTCCAAACTTCCTGCATGCTTCATATCTCGATGAACGCACAGCTGACGTATAAACCTACTGTTTTATAACATTTTCAACCCGATGGAAATTTTTTTCCTCGAGGGATTTGTTTGCTGACGTCATGAGCGTGCACAATAGGAATATGAAGCACGCTCGCGCAATTGAATTTATTAGCTATGTTGTACCAAATTTAAAAGCTTATTTTTACAAGTCTGTCGCAATCTGACACCTGTCAATTAGAGAGCGCGTAAGGAAAAGAAAGCGCAAGAAGATGTGATAAACAACGGAACTAGTTTGGCAAGGACTGTCACGACAATGTTTTCTTCAAAAACAGTAAATGATCTCAAGGAAAATATAATTCACTCTCATCGACGATTCATTCATGTACGAAGATTTACCTCTGTTCATTATGTAAACGGCGAGGAAAGTAATAGTTAGTTAATTTAAAATTTTTTGTTTTGAGGTTGTGAGTTTGCTCGTTTGTTTGCTGCAGTGGCGTGTGTAAATCTGGTCTTTCCACAAAAACTAAATTCGAATGGCACACACCAACGAGACACAAGGGTATTTAATGCAGCCTTTTCTAAATAAATTCCCTCAGTTCCTGTTGTGCAATTTATGGTACAAATGTCCAAATTGAACGGACTTGGAAAGACTCACCGAGAGCGTATATTTGTTGTAGAACTAGAATTAAAACTTCGTTCGCTCTTTCATTACGAACAAATTGTTTGAGAAAATTCATATATTAAATGAATGAAAGTTCCATCGTTCGGTTTAACTGTAACCAAATACCTCACGTTTTAACTTTCTAGGTATTTTTTGTAAACGATTAAAATTAATTGCAGACGGTTTTTAGGCCGCTTGTCAACCAACGTAATGACGCTACTGCTTATACAAATTCATTCTGAAACCAATATTTTTCTGTCAACCAAAGTGAATTGAGAGAGAGAAAAGAGAGGATTCATAAGTTATTTATCGGCTTGAGGTAGTGGCCGGCGTGTTTGCTTGAAAATGCTGCCGAGGCTGTGGGTCTCTACTTTTATTCGGAGTATTTCAATCCGAAGCCCGCCGAATTTATTTCTTAGTTGCGCCGCAATCAAACGGTGAAGATGGAAGATTTGTACCTCGGTCTGCTGCATAACGATCTTACTCAGAATACAACCACCATACAGTTCCCAAGTTTACGTTCCAGCTGCATCTACAGGGCCAAGTACTGTTCAATTTATATCGGCGCAAGTAGTCGACCGCGCTTTCTTTTGGAACCTTTATTTTTATATGTGTCCCATTGATGACGCCTGCTATATATTATTATATTATATATATATATATATATATAGATATATTATTATATTTTTCACGTTTAATTATCTACCGAACTTCGAGCTCTGAATGGACTTCATTTCTCTCTTTTAACCCATACTCACGCAACCTTCTCTTTAGAGTCTTCAAGTTCATATAAATATCATGGTATTTTTCTAAAAACTGAACAATAGTATCATAACGAAACCCTCTTTCAAAGTAATGTTCAATGGCAGATCTCTCCTCTGACGAACTGTACAAAACATTTTTCTGTTTGGGTCTCTTTAATGTCGCACATCGACGGCAGAATTGCTCATTGCTCGCAAATTCTTTCCCACAATTGTGGCAGAACATCGTGATACCTTGGTACTGTTTGGTCCGTTTGCGTAGTGACTCTAAGTGGAGCTAGTGCAACCTAGAGCGACACAATGTGCTATATCGTGACAAATTGCCGACTACTGGCGCAAGTGTTAGCTAACAAAATGTTTGCGAAAATTTTCTGGATTTTGGAAAGATTCTTGGATCGTAAACTGTTCGATTTTCATGACAGTTATTTTTGGATTTATAAATTAAACCAGGATTTGAAATTGTTTTCTCGATTTGACAAACTTTTCAAAAGCAATTTGTCTAAAAAGATGCCGATTCTTAATATTTTTTCGGATTTGCAAAATATTTTTGGACTGTCCCTTTTCGGCTCCTGCTCCTGGTAATAATACCGATTCTTAATATATGCATGGGCAGAAAAATATCAGAGGAATGTTCAGTGAGTAAACAAGGGTCCAGGTTATCGAAATGTTAATTAAGAATCAAAGTAAATTGAAGTTGCTCCTTTACATAAATGTAATAATTATGCGTAAATTTTTAAATTTTGTAGCTAATTTCTCATTTGGGAAAAACTAGGTCAGTTAATAACGGTAAAAATTGTTATCTCATTCACCTTCATCTATGCTTTCCTTGCCGTGTATGTTTTCAGTTTTCAGTTTGAAATGTATGGTCTGCGCCAGTTCCGAGTCATGGGATAAATGCGAAGGAATAAGCATGACCTGCGTGGCTTCGACGGCCGATCAATGTGTGAAAGTCTACTATAGAACTGGTTCAACCGAGGTGTTCCAGAAAATGTGCGGAAGCGATGCTTTCTGTGATGAAAAAACCAACCCTACTTGTAAAGACGCCAGTGGATCCTTTGAGTGTAAAATCAACTGCTGCACAGGCGACGACTGCAATGCTGGCGCAGCAACCCGCATCAGCGGTATTCTCTTGTTGTCATGCGCCCTGGCCTCTCTGATGATCTTTTTCAAAGCCTGAGACTTGACTGAGGTTGAGGTCCAGTACAGTTCATGATCTGAGGCTGCAACTAGTTATACGCTTTATTGAAGTACGTCAGTAGTGAATTAGGAGAGAACGTCTTGCTTATAGGACATAGTAGTCGTCCATAGAACTATCTTCGTGAGTCGGAGATGAAGTCAGGCCGATTTACACCTACAAGAAGGGATGCTAGTCCATCATAGTCACGTACTGCATGTGCTTATTAGTTTAAGTAAAAGGGGCTTTTTAAATTTTGTTAAATGATGCAGCTCTGGGAAATAAAACGTTGTCTCTAACTACTTCTTCTTCAAGATCCTCTGATTTAATCAGCACTAAGCGTTACAGGAATCATTTGGCTAAAAATTCTACTAATCCTCCATACTGCAGCGAAATAAACAAAAGCTTATGTGTAGGTACACTGCCTGTAAGAGTAACCCGTAACACGATAAATATCATTATCTTGACAATTAAATTTGTCCGGCGCACATGAAATGTGGCCTCGATTACGCGCATATGTCGCCTCGATCGCGCGCAGAATAATCGGTGTATTAGCAAATTTCAACTGGTCGTGTACGAGCTTCTTTGTCAATGGATGGTAATAGCGTTTCGATTACCGGTGTTAAGGGTCGGACTTACCAAATGAATATGTGGCACAAAATGGCCGAACTCTGCCACACGTGCACCTACTATGATAGCAATAACTGGAAGTTCTTTCCACACGGAGAAAAAAATCAGCTGTTTCCTTGTGGCAATCTCCTCAATCGCTTTATCGTCCCCGTGACGTTCCTCTTTCTCTTGATTGTCGTTATCATCTTCATCACTCTCAATGTTGGGATCAAATGTCACAGCGAGAGAACACAAGATGAACGCCACTCCCGTCATTATGCGATAGGTCGTTTGCCAGCTAACGGTGATTCTCACAATGGCCTCTGACGTGGGGCCTATAACTCCTCCACCGTGCCCAGCTGTTAATACCCCTGTGGCTAATGACCGTCCCTTTTCAAAGTACTTTCCCATTGCCACCAGACCCGCAGAGAACGTGCAACTGGATCCCAAACCAATAGGAGACTGTAGGTAAAGAAGAGAACCATCATGTTCTCCACGAAAGAACTCGCAATCAAACTAACGACACAGAATGTGCCTCCGATCAAAGTTGTGACTCTGCAGCCAAATCGAGTAACCAGAGCAGAAGACAGGTGCCCAGTGAAGAAGGCCAAGGCGATACCAACAGAATCGAACCATGCTAAAACGTCAAATACAACATCACATATGTTACTTTTTTTTTCTTTTTTTTTATTTCAAATGACGGCTATAACGAAAATGACATCAGTATGCATATTCTCCAAACTGTTCTCTTTACATTTCCCAGGATACCGACATGGAAAATTTATTTCTAACAATAAAGAGCTTCTCTGATCATTTCCTTAACTCCCGTGACCTTCATGTTCGATTCAGGAGTGAACTGTAAGGAGAAATTAAATGCTAGATGCTTTATGATCTTGCGGGAATTGATATTAAGATCAAGTTTGGGAGTGAACCAGGCCCCTTCATTAAGTATATGGAGCTCGACGGCAGTGCAACCGGTGTACAGGATGTAGAAATGCAAATTTCACTACCAGGATCCCTTTATGGGCGGCCGTCACCGCCAAAAACACAGGCATAGTAAATGGTTTGTAATAAACAGAAATCTTCTTATTTTCTTTTGGAGAACGGTTTATCTTATCATAAGAGATCTATTAAAATACAAATAGAGAAGTCGCCTTAGGTGAAATGAAATATTCAAACAAAAAATGGTTTATACCATTCAGAAAATGTGTAGCTACCCTTGTTGAACTGATTCATTAAAAACACGAGTGGCCAAGTGTTAACTGAAATGGTTCAGTGTCGATATGACAAACAGTTCAGCTAACTGTACTTTGGTTTAGTAACTTGACACAAACGGTTCAGAGAAGTGTGAAATGGCTCAAGTTATCGGCAAATGGTTAGGCAAATGGTGAACTGACCGATTCATTCTTCTGGCTTGTGGAGTTTTCCGTTGGGATTCTCGTTTCGCAAATTACAGATTTCTATTTTGCAAATCACTGGCATATTTTCATTATTACAGATTTCTATTTTGCAAATCATAAGCATATTTCCTTATTTCTATTCTGCAAATAATTAGCATATTTCGTGTGACGTGTGGTCCGTACACACTGTACCTTCTACGGTGAATTATTTGAAGCTGAAGATACCTTATAAGCACTCTTCAATATCTACTCTTTGCAAAGACTCTCTTACACGCCACTCCAGCATATGATACCCCATTGACCGTAGTATCACAAGGGTAACACGATAATCACTGCGTGGAAAATACATTCTTTACAATTTCATCTGGTTCAGAGTCAGACATCTGGCAAAACTTTGTAGACAATGAAATTCCATAGTCGCATAATCTTTTACTGATTTACAGTGGCCTAACTAACTGCTAGCATTTTTACCATTTCAGAGACTTTGAACCCGAATTCTACGAAAAATTGTAGTTGCGTCTCTTGTACATCGTATCGTGGACGTCCTCGATTTCCACTTAAGACTTTTTGTGTACAATATCCTTGATCATTATCGTAGAGACCCAGTCCAACTCATCTGCTTTAAGTTCCTTAGCATCCCTTACATACTGAAATACACTGCATTCGATATCCACAACCTGTGAACTTAGAGCCAAAATGTGCTCTATTCTATCAATTTTAAAATAAAGATAATCAACCTCATCATTCCGCAAGTTATCAGCATATAGCAGACTCAAAACTTCCCCGATAGATCGAGCAATATGCTCTATTACGTAGCCTCTTTCACCTTGAGTTCAACTTTGAGTCGCCATTTCGATTTTGCATCATCAGTAGTTTCTATCGGCAGTCTTCCCCCGCAGGTCAATCGTCAATTTCTCGTATCTTCGTGAGCAAATCGGCGCTGTTCATACAAGTGTGGACTTTGTTTGCACAAAGTGGACGTTGTTTGGACAAAGTGGACGTTGTTTCCACAAAGTTAACGTTGTTCGTACAAATTAGATGTTGTTCGTACAAAGTTGAGGTTCATACTAAGTGAAAAAATTAATGCACAAAATTAACGTTGTATGTGCAAAAGAGTCGACGTTGTTTGCACAAAGTTGACGTTGTTCGTCAAAGTATTGAATAAAGAAAGACGAAAATTGGCAAGTTAATTTTGATATAAAAACCGCTTCATACTCGTCGTAAATCGCTGTTGTCTGAAAAGTTGACCGTGAAAACAGTTAGTTCATCATCTTTTTCGTTAGTATGAAAATAAATTACCAACTAGAACCGATCAGAATTGACAAAAGAATCGGCAAAAGGGGTTAAGCAATTAAAAGTCATTATATACTTTCTTGCAAAAGAGTGACGTCACGTAACGCGATTAGTGTCAGGTTTGCGTAGACGTTGCCTCGCCTCCGTTTCACCTTGCCGTGGGGAGGGTACGGCTACACGTAGGCAAATTACAATAAGCCCTTGGGAAGAGCTAGCGACAAATTAAGGTCAGAGAAGGGAGCCTCAAAAATGTCACGCCATAATCATACCACTGGCCTCAGTCACGTGCTGATCACGTGAAAAACTTGGGCATTTTGGGGTACATTTAAATTTATGCAAAATACAACTCCTATTTAGAACGAGAATGACAAAAGATTGTTCACTATTTATTGTTGCCTAGTTACTGAGACTGACTGACAGTAAAATAGCATGTTTTTACATTGGGTGCGTCTGTCTAACAAAGAGTTGCTAGTACTGAGAAAGTGCGCAAGATCCCACTGCCTCAAGTTCAGCCCGCCCGTCGACGCTTTGACACTACACCTCCAATCTTCAGTTTTTTGACTCTCAAGGAAACATCAAGCTCCTCAAGATGAAGCTGTGGTTTGTTGCTGCCGTCATTATCTCCGTTGCGTTTCCACCCGGTAAGTGATTTCATCGCAAAATGCTTTTTTTTAATCCACATCCTTTCGATTGCAGCACCTGTTTCTAAAAAGATGTCGATTCTTAATATTTTTCGGATTTGCAAAATATTTTTGGATTGTCCCTTTTCGGCTTCCGTAGAACCCTGCTCCTGGTAATAATACCGATTCTTAATATATGCATGGGCAGAAAAATATCAGGAATGTTCAGTGAGTAAACAAGGGTCCAGGTTATCGAAATGTTAATTAAGGATCAAAGCAAATTGAAGTTGTTCCTTTACATAAATGAAATAATTATGCATAAATTTTCAAATTTTGAAGCTAATTTCTCATTTGGGAAAAACTAGGCCAGTTAATAACGGTAAAAATTGTTATCTCACTCATTTTCATCTGTGCATTCCTTGTCGTGTGTGTTTTCAGTTTTGAGTTTGAAATGCATGGCCTGCAGCAGTATCGAGTCCTGGGATAAATGCAAAGATTTGGAAGTAAGTATGACCTGCTCAGCTTATGCGTCCGAACGATGTGTGAAACTCTACTCTAAAACTCCATCAGTCGAATCGTTCATTCAAATGTGCGGAACCGATGCTTACTGTGATGAAAAAACCAACCCTTCTTGTAAAGAAGCCATTGGATCCTATGAGTGTGACGTCTACTGCTGCAAAGGCGACGACTGCAATGGTGGCACAGGAACTCGCATCAGCGGTATTCTCTTGGTATCATGCGCTCTGGCCTCTCTGATGATCTTTTACAAAGCCTGAGACTTGACTGAGGTTGATGTCCAGCACGGCTCATGATCAAAACTGCAACTAGTTATAAGCTTTCTTTGAAGGATGTCAGTTGTGAATTAAGATAGAACGTCTTGCTTAAGACATAGTAGTCGTCTGTAGGATGATCTTCGTGAAACGGAGATGAAGTCAGGCCGATTTATACCTACAAGAGAGGATGCTAGTCCATCGTAGTCTGCACGTAATGTGCTCATTAGTTAAAGTAAAATAGAGGCTTTTTTAAATGTTGTTAAATGATGCAGCACTGGGAAATAAAACGTTGTTTCTAACTACCTCTTCTTAAAGTTTCTCTGATTTAATCAGCACTAAGCGTTACAGGAATCATTTGGCTAAAAATTCCACTCCTCCTCCATATTGCGGCGAAAATAACATAAGCTTATGTGTATTAATAGGTACACTGCTTGTAAGAGTAACCCGTAACACGTTAAATATCATCATCGTGACCATTAAATTTGTCCGGCGCCCCCAAATAAAACGATTTCCGTTGTACGTATCACTGTGTTAGCCAGAACCGTAGCACCCAAATATTTCTCTCACCCTGCCTAAAAAAGATTTCCAAATTTTTACAATTTCACCTGTACCTGCTCCTAAAACTCCCTGAGGAAGTCCACAAAACGAGTCGGAGATTAAAGAAGTTTTCCAACCACTGTTCACAGAGTGCTGCTCATTAGTTTAGCATTGCAATATTCTTTAAAAAAAATTTAAATACGATCGACTAAGACTGGTCAACATGACCGGCAAGACGACTAACTCCTTGACCGGTAAAATCCTCATTCAGTCTCAAGCTTCCACCGGTTTTGATTTAATTGTTGGAGCTTTTAGCTCCAAATGAAATTCAACAATAACGACTTCGATGATGATCTCAGTAATCCAAAGATAAGCACATATTCAGGTTATACTGTGATTTGTAGACCTATTACTGTACTGAAAGCAGCTACTTTTCCTAGAAACTATAGCAATCAGCATTCGATTTAAAATATATATACCAGCCCTTTGAAAAAAAAAAGTAATGCAATATTTTTCCTCTCAGTTTTATTATTGCAGTGATAATATATGACAACTGCTGCTAAATCTATTTTGGCCCCAGTCCTCATTGGCCGGTTGTCTCGCGGAGCGCCATGGTTGCGTTACATGGGTTCCCTTCCGCTCGCCATCTGTTTATATATAGTTGCTCTGTGGTCACTTCAGCATTGAGTCCCACAGTAATTTTGAAACAAACCAAATGAAAGCAATATGAAACAGTGGCGACTTGTCTCCTGTCTTTTCTGCCTGCTTTTTCCCAAAGGTACGGCTAACTGTATCAGTACCAATGACTGCAATAGGAAACAATCGACTGACTGATACCCAGTAACCAAGTTTGCTTCAAAGCTTACATTAATTTGCTCTGCTGTTACTGGGAACTCACTGTCCACCGGTTTCAATCACTGTAGCCTTTTTGAAAACTTTTACATCTTACAAACTTCAATAATTACTGACTAATTCTTAACTTTCCTCAAATATTTTTGCCCCAGCACTTTTTTAACGATTCTTATCTTTTCTAACTGCGGCTACAACGTCTAAATCTTTCAGATTTAGAACGGCAACTTTAGCTGCATCAATAATCCCCAGAGAGTTCGTAGTCTCTTAAATCTCTTTCATTTGTAGGGAAAGCTTGCAAACTGCATGAAATTTTGACTTCATTTGTTTAACCAGAGTTGAGCTTATTCATAATTTTTCGTAAGCCATTCTGCTACCTTTCTTTGAAAGTATCGCACAAATTTTCCTTATTTACCCTCCACTATGACACTCTGAACAGATGTCAAGACTATAACATTTGTAATATTTGACAGCAGAGGGTTAAAACGGAATAACTCAAGCTAACAAATAAGAATGTAAAATCTTTGTTCAGCTCTTAGGCGAAGAATAGTGGTTAAAACAGACAATTTTATGCAATTTCAGGACTAAAAAGTTAAAACAAAGGATGTAAAAATATCACAATTTTGGTCAAATTTGTGATCAAACGAATGCATCAGACAGACATCAGGTATTGGCTGATGAAGATCTGTGAATAGATTTCCGTCTTTTAGTAAAAACTTCAAAACTTAAGTCTGAAAATTTCGCCTGAACTCTTCTCGGGGTGATTTTTGATCTTTATGATATCATCGTTTGTAAAACATTCCCACCAAAAAGCTATCGATCGAAGCAGGTAGTAATTATTTCTCTTTGAGTCAGGCTTTATTTTTAGAGATGCAAAACTGATTTGAAGCAGCGTTCTAAAAATTTCTGTATGGTCAGTGCGCTTTTTACAGACTTCTTATGTTTTAGTAAAAATAGTTGCTTTCAGTAAAAGTGAAGATTTGCGAGGTCTGAAGTTATGTTACCAGAATATTCTTGTGCTCTCTTTTTTTAATGTTCAAAAATAACTAACGAGCAATGTGGATGATTCTTGAGTAACGACGCTCGCTGACGAACTTCAAAAAATTTTTAATTAATTCAACTGAGACTCCACAGCCTTTTACAAACCAAATTAACCTGGTTTTAAATTTTACAAACCTTGGCAAAATCTTTATACAGTCGCTATCTATTAAAAATATTCTTATTTTTCTTCGATAAGAAGAAAAAATCTAAATAAATATTATATTTTCTGTGAACTCATTTCTAAAAGTTTTGGTTTCAGTGGAAGGCGGGAGGCGTGAGCGAAAACAACTTTTTATTCTTCTTTCAGTGTTGGCCCTGAGTTTCTTTTCTTGTGAATCTCAATTTTCTTGGAGCCATTGCCGGAAGACAAGTAAAACATGTAAGCCTGAATATAAATGCGGCAAGGTGTACATCAACATTGACGGGAAGGAAAATATTCAGAATGATTGCCTGCCTCCGGAGTGGTGTTTAAAGGAAAACCATTATGACTGTAGAGATCATCTTCCCAAGAACAGCACCGTCTGTGACATTCATTGTTGCGATGATGATAACGATTGCAATGCGGGTGCGGTGCGCCAGATCAACGGAATCCTGCTGTTGACATGCGTCCTGCTGTCGGTTTTGTAAATTAAGTTTCGATTTTATTGATTTAGACGCACTCAGTCCGCTTAGTGTTCATGAACTTTGAAAAGTACGACATACTTTGGTTCCAACAGAGCTGGAAGAAGTTCATTTTGTATTAATTTTCCAAAGTACAATAAAACTGCGGAGACTGTTCCACCAATTCCTGAGGATACATAATATGAAATGACATCACATCTAGATTAGTTACTCGGGTCAATTGCACCGCTGGCCTCTCAGAACATTCTCGTTACCAATAGCCTACTCCTTGGACGTACGTTACTCCACCCCCCTCCCCTCCCAAGAGGCACAGATGGTGTTGACGAATATTTGTTCTGAATACATTTATTGTCTCCTTTGCACTATGGTGAAAATAAGCTTGGATTTTTTATCTAGTTACGCTTAAAATGAAGACACTCCCCGCGTTTTACCTTGATTTTTCACAGCTGTTCGACTTAAACTTTTATGCTCCGAAGGAACAAAGGCGGGAGGGGGGGGAAAGGGCAGAGGAAAGAAAAAAGGCCGCGAAGTGAGAGAGCAATAAAAAATGGTAACAAAGGCAAGAGCAGAATTTGAATTTCTATTGCATTGATTCTACAGCCAGCCTACTACATTTTTTTTCTATTTCCCATTTACTCACTGCAGCATTATGATAATCCTCTAACACTTGACACTTGACGTGATACCTGTTGTCATTTTTTCTTATTCAATTTAGCTGTTCCTGTCAAACAATTCTCACAGTACTTCTCCATCAATTTGATCTATGGATCAAGGGAATAATGATTACAATAAACTTAGACCACTTTTATCAACAATTTCCATTGATTAGCTTGAGTGGGACTGTACCCAAGCAACTCACTCTTTCAGGGGTATCGAATGATCCCATTCAATTGAAAGGTGCTCACAAAATTTGGCCTTTGCTCGAATTGCTTTCAAAAATTACACGGGTGCTCGCTTGCTCGTGCTCGCAAAATTTTTGCAACTGCTGGCATACTTGCATTCTCGTTAACATGTGCTCGATTACTCGAAATTTCATTTATTCTGCCTTGTAGTTATTTTTTATACATACATAAATGATAAATCAGTTATGACATGGTTAAAACAAAAAGGTTGCCTTAAACCCTCTTTCGCTTGAACAAGAAAACGTGACTGTAAAACGATCTATTTACCAGGAAATTCTGATGTAGTTGACAGGAAGCTCGACATGACGGGAGGTGACATAATCTCCTGTGGATACAACATTCCTTGCGAACCATATCAAACTCATGGGGCACAAATAGTCTTAAAATGAATGTAGTGACCACGCCCACTTCAACACCCCACTCAAATCGAGTGTAATTTTCGAATGTTTTACCATTGTGCGGATTCTCTACGGAAAAAGCACTCAATGTACCTCTGAAATATTAAACTATAATATTGTGGCTTTCTATTTCGCTAATTTTCTAACTTGAAGGTAAAGTTTTTCCCTCGTCATTTTTACCTTTTCTCCGAGCGGTTGCGTGAAATTAACAAGGCGTTTTTGATCAAAACACGACCGAGCGAAGGGTCTTGGGCGATATCTCTTTTACGCAGGCGCAAATTAAAAATGTACCGCCAGAATCAAAAAGAGGAACAAATTTCCTTTGTTTTGATATGTAAAGTGTCGAACAAAAAGCAGATTTACCCTCGTCAAATGGCGTTTCAAAACAGCTGTATCTTCCTCCTTTTGATTTTTTCCTGTTTTGTAAGCGTGAAAGCAGTAGGAGAGGGATCGGGAAACTCAGAAAGCGCTTCGGGAATTAGTCTGCCATCGTTTACTTACAAGATAAACAAGTAAGATTTGTGAAGTTCGTTGAAGTACGAAGTCTAAATAAATGCCTTTTTTAAGCTTGTTTGCTGGATTTTTCGTAAACATCCCTGATTAGTTTTTCGTTTCAGCTTACTAATCTATACTACTTCAAAGCAATGTAATTTCAACAATCGTAAACAAAGTGTTTGAGCAATCAGGTATACGAGGTGTAATAATCAAAAGCCGCACATTAGAAGTCTTCAGAAAGAAAGTATTCTGTCTTCAGAAGGCTGTCAAGAAAGCTAGTGATCGTGGCGGAAGGCAATTAAATGCGCTTCTTAGCAAGTTGGAAACGGGCTTTCGGTATCGATTTAATATCATATCGATCTCAGTATCATACAGTTTTGTATCTTTCCTCCGCGGATTCGCCTTCCTAACGAGGGTTTATGCTGAGTATTCATTGCAAAATCGCTTTGTTTTTTTCTTTCTTTGGCTTGTCCGCCATTTTGAAAATTCGTAACGGAGAGCATGCGCATTACGTGGGGTTAGTGGTTGCGTACACCTGGAACCGAGAAAAACAAATGTTCGTCGCACTGGGGAAAGAGTTTGATATGTTTCTTGATCGAAATTCCCATTTATTTAAGCAAATTATTAGGGTTTGTAGATATGATGGATTTTCCAGTGGGCAATGGGAAATTAAATAGAGAGAGTCATAATATTCTGAAACAGTGTACTCGGATCGCATTTTGTAGCGGTTTTTGCAACCTTGGAAGCTTCCTGGCCACTCGTAATAATAACTATTATAATCTGATGCCAAACGGTGGCATATGAAACCCGATTAATCAAAACAACATTAATAACAACCCTCGGTCGTTTGGGCTTCACCGGCTCAGGGAAAGTCTTAAATGAAATGTTGCTTTAATTATTTTGATCAGAAGCTAAAAGCCTAGCCAAACGAGGAGACATGTCTAGAAACTGTCTTCATGTCACGCGGAAACACGAAATGAAAGGCACCCGCGAGGGTAGAAAGTAATCTAGAGAAATACTACTGTTACCAGTACTATTTGACCTTCGAATTTGGAGTTACCATCAGACCTTTTCAGATATGTACGGATGTAATTACTTAGATTCTAGTAGCCTCCAAGTAAATAAGCTTCATTGCGTTGAATATTTTTCAGTCAACCAGCAGGAAACCAGTTTGTCGATCATCGAAACCGAAGCCCGAAATGCTTGTTAGACCGAATGTCAGGTTATTTGCATTTCATAATATGACCAAAAAAACATACCTTCCATTTCATCATCGGGTTAGAAAGAGATGGAAAACTTTAGATCGCGGGCTTTGGATCTAGCAGGTCTAGCACAATTGGCTTTAAGATGCTGGGACTGGTTGAAACGCCCTAGCTGTGCATCTATTTTTCTGTTTTGGAGATGTCAGCCAGATTACTAGCTATTACTTGGCGCAAAACAATGTATCCTATTAATAAAAGAGAGATTCCGGCTACTCCCAAAATTTACGATATACTCGAAGCGCTCGCTGCCCGCCATCTGTATTTTCCTAAAGTGCTCGCTGCTCGCCATCTGTATTTTTTAAAGTGCTCGCTACTCGCGAGAAAAATTTGACAACTGCTCGTGCTCGCAAAAATAAACACACTGCTCGCATGCTCGAAAATACTCGCAAAGACCATTCAATACCCCTTCTTTCGTTTTTCATCTGAGGTAAGTATGCGTCGACAATGATCATTGGCTAAGAGCTTAAGAGAGGTTTGGGACTAGCCAAACCATATCGGTTTGTACTAAACCATTTGTCGTCACGCTAAACCATCTGGGGTCACGCTAAACCGTTTTACTTTACGGTGAGTAGATTGTTGCGATACTAAACCATTCCGGCGTACGATTAACTATTTGCCGATAACTTGAGCCATTTCACACCACTCTGAACCGTTTGTGTCAAGTCACTGAACCAAAGTACAGTTAGCTGAACCGTCTGTCATTTCGATACTGAACCATTTCAGTTAACACTTAGCCACTCGTGTTTCTATTGAATCAGTTCAACAAGGGTGGTTACACAGTTTCTGAATTGTATAAACCATTTTTTGTTTGAATATTTCATTTCACCCAAAACGACTTGTCTATTTGTATTTTAAATAAATCTCTTAAGACAAGATAAACCGTTCTCCAAAAGACAATTAGAACATTTCTGTTTACTACAAACCATTTATTATGCCTGTATTTTTGGTGGTGACGGCCGCCTATATTACTTATTATAGACAGTACAGCTACAGCTTCAACAAATATTTCAAATTACTTTTGCGCTCTATGGCCTAAACGACGCATTGAGTTATTCACGAATGTAGTGAAGATTTCGCAAAGTTCACCCCGCAGACTTTTTATTTCCCACTTTCGCTAGTTGTTCGAGCTTTCCAAAAGAAACGCCCGAGTTGAAAATCCGACTTCGTTTTTCTTTCGTTCGGTCGCAAATCGCAGTCAAGTCTTCACTACGCATGCGCAACTTTTTGACTCTATCGCATGTGCGGCGTTTTGAGTAATGAGCACATGGCATAGTGTAATGGCGGACGATAAGAAGCTTTCGCGGTGCAAAATCAGCACAAACACTGTGTATAATACGCCCATAACGCATACAAAATATGTACACATCGTTCGCGATAGACCCACTCTAAAAGATGACGAGCGTTTTCGGAACGGTTCGGTCTGCGAACCTTAAGAGAGATCTCTTTATGAGCGTACATTCATGAGTGAACCTTTCATCGAGAAACATGCTATATCAACTGAGCTATCTAATGTTAGTTGAGAGAAGCATAGACGCAAATCTCGTCGTGTATGCAGACCTGATCGTGAATCAAGCAGAATAGCAATACGAAGTTTGAACGAGCAAAAAGGTTTGAAAATTTGTCAATGCACGTATTCTCTCATGTATCCCCATGTTATCTACATTGTACTGTTATGTTAATGCTAAAAAAACTATTGAATAAAAGGACGTTTAAGTTTAACTGTCGTGAAAGAATTCGTTAAAGTATAAGTAAAATATCATGCCAGTCAATATTTAACGTTGCAGATAATTTAGTGTTAACAACTGGGTTGAAAACGTAAATTAGCCACCGTAAAGGGTAAAAAAGCTGAAGTTTCGAGCGTTAGCCCTTCGTCAGAGCGATTAGAGGAATTGTGGGTTGTGTGTGGATTTATATGTAGAAAGTGGAGCTACGCCATTGGTGGGAATATGGTGACGAGAAAACAGGAATAAATTAGTTGAATGAAAAGCGCTCGTTGATTCCGTGGAGATTCAGGGTGCCGATTTGGAATATAAATTTTTGTTCTAGTGTTTTACGGCTTTCCGAACTGCCTAGATGTAAGTAACGTTGTTTTCTTGTAACAAACTGATGTGTTTTTGCAAGAATAAGGCTCATGTAGCAAATTTATTGCAACTATAAATTAAGTAGAGACAGCAAAAAAATCCTGGCCCTTCAATATATGTTGACCCTAACAAAACAACAGTAGCTCCATATAGTCAAGGTAACGAGTTAGTTTTTGGACAGAATGCAGGACAACGTGTTGCAATGAGTTTGTCCTTTGATTTACAGTAACACGCAAGGGATCAGCTCTGCAAATGATCTTATACAAATAATGGTTATTGGGAAATCAGCTTTATTCAAGTTTGTCATGATTAGCCAGGCAGGCTGTCTAATGAAGTCAGAGTTACCAACAGCGTTAAATGTGTTTGACGCTGATTATCAACTGGAATTCAATGAAAGCTACTCTAGTACTGTTCATTAAGAAATTGCTATAGAGGGATATCAGTACTGTACGTCTTTAAAAAGAGCCTTTGAGTCGCTCATATCTGAAAGCCACACCAATTTCATATTAACAGTAGGGTGTGTTGCTGTTGCAACCTATTGTAATAGTAAGATGGGGTTCAAAATATTTGATTGTCATGCTAGAGATTTGTATTGTTCTTGTTGGATGACAATTTCTACTACTATACCATTGAAATATTATCTTTGTAATTTGTAGATATAAAGTCATATGAAAAATATTAAATTTATTTTAATCTTACTGTGTGTCTTTTTCCTCACTGCATCATATCAAACTCTTTCCCCAGTGCGACGAACATTTGTTTTTCTCAGCTCCAGGGGTACACAACCACTAACCCCAGGTAATACGCATGCTCTCTTTTACGAATTTTCAAAATGGCGGACAGGCCAAAAAGGGAAAATAGAAAAAACAAAGCGATTTTGCAATGAATACTCAACATACACCCCCGTTAGAAAGGCGAATCCACGGAAGAAAGATACAAAACTGTATGATATTAAGAACGATATGATATTAAATCGATACCGTGGGCCCGTTTCCAACTTGCTAAGAGGTGCATTTAATTGCCTCCACCACGATTACTAGCTTTCTTGACAGCTTTTTAAAGACAGAATATTTTCTTTCTGAAGACTTCTGATATGCAGCTATTGCTAGCTCCTCGTATTCCTGATTGCTCAAACAATTTGTTAACGATTGTTGAAAGGACCAACTCATGGTTCTCCGTCTTCGTCTTTGCATTGCTTTGAAATAGTATAGATTAGTAAGCTGAAACGAAAAATTAATCTGGGAAGTTTATGAAAAATCCAGCAAACAAGCTTAAAAAAAGTATTTATTTAGACTTCATACTTCAACGAACTTCACAAATCTTACTTGTTTATCTGATGGCAGATTAATTCCCGAAGCGCTTTCTGAGTTTCCCGATCCCTCTCCTACTGCTTTCACGCTTACAAAACAGGAAAAAATCAAAAGGAGGAAGCTACAGCTGTTTTGAAACGCCATTTGACGAGGGTAAATCTGCTTTTTGTTCGACACTTTACATATGAAAACAAAGGAAATTTGTTTCTCTTTTTGATTCTGGCGGTACATTTTTAATTTGCGCCTGCGTAAAAGAGATATCGCCCGAGACCCTTCGCTCGGTCGTGTTTTGATCAAAAACGCCTTGTTAATTTCACGCAACCGCTCGGAGAAAAGGTAAAAATGACGAGGGAAAAACTTTACCTTCAAGTTAGAAAATTAGCAAAATAGAAAGCCACAATATTATAGTTTAATATTTCAAAGGTACACTGAGTGCTTTTTCCGTAGAGAACCCGCACGATGGTAAAACATTCGAAAATTACAGTCGATTTGAATGGGGCGTTGAAGTGGGCGTGGTCACTACATTTATGTTGAGACTATTTGTACCCCATGAGTTTGATATGTATACAGAATGAAAAAAGTTGGTTAATTTTCATATGCAAATGAAAATATGCAATTACTGTAATTAGTAGACTCTGAATTTTTTTGTACATTATCAACTGCTACAAACTTAACTGTCATTTTTTATTCGAGGGCAAATGAAAATAATGGTTTTGATTAGAGTGATTTCAATAAGCCTGGGTACTGCTGATGAATTACATTAATGTTATTAGATGTGAAATGCCTTGTGACCTTTTGTTTCTTTACATCTTTTAGAGTGATATTCATTTGCCCATGAAATAGAGAAATGACTATTTAGTTTGTAGTAGTTGATAAAGAACAAAGAAAACAAAAAAATAAACAGTACACCACCAACTGTCAATTACCCTACTCTTTCAAAGAAAATGAAAATTACTCTAAACACTAACAGTTGAATAGTACTCACCAGGTTTAGTGAAACCACTCTATCCAATAAACCAAAATGTATTAACTAAAGTATACTAGCCCAGTATCTCCAAATGGAAACAAACAAATTGGGAGGTAATAGTAAAAAATATACATAAGTATATTTCACATATTCATGAGAACCACTCCAACAACCCCATAAAATTAATAGTTCATCTAGTAATAACCCTTGGTGGTGACTTTTTGTTTTCTTTTGGTTAAGAGTCATCACCCAAGCACTTGGGGCTGTTCATAATTCAAAGTTATCTCAGCCGGAAACTTTTATCAACCAAGAAAAAGAAAACTTAAGAAGACAGTCTGTTAGGCAAAAGACTTACCCTGCTACAACCTTTAACCCGCAAAACAAAATTTAATCAAGTCAAAACTCAAAAAAAAAAATTAAAATAGTGTATTGTAGTAAGTATTGAAAGAATAGCCAATTATATATGGCACAACCCGCCCCCACCCCACCCCACCTCAGAAAAGGGTCTTTACACTACATAGCAAATGCCGTTTCAGCTCATGCAGTTTACATGTGTCAGAAACCTGCATGTCTGGCAAACCAAGAGAAAAAACAGTTACAGGAGAAATCAATAATTGCATAAAAAAAAACTTAGGCAAATACAGGCACGAAAAACAAAGTTTACTTCCAACAGAAAGCCCGGGTGAACGCAAATATGCGTCTAGTTGTTATTATTATTTGGCAGGCCGCAATCCACAGTTATGTTGAACTAGCCTACGTGTAGCCGTACCCTCCCCCAGCCCGTTCCCTTGCTCTAACTTCTCCTTGCGGGGGAGGGTACGGTTAGGCTTAGGCCAATGGTGAACTGACCGATTCAGTCTTCTGGCTTCTGGAGTTTTCCGCAGGGATTCTCGTTTCGCAAATTACAGATTTCTATTTTGCAAATCAATGGCATATTTTCATTAATACAGATTTCTATTTTGCAAATCATAAGCATATTTCCTTATTTCTATTTTGCAAATAATTACCATATTTCCATCTCGCAAATTTGTAAATTATTAGCTTATTTCCATTTCGCAAATTTGCAAA